GAAAAAAAAAAAAAAAAGACTATGGGCCACCGATATTCGTGTTATCTACAATTCATGACTAATGTTCCACTTTGGGCTGTAAGTCCCCATTGTACTTTTAAGTAATTCATAGCTCGGAGGCGTTTAGTTCTGCAGATTGAACAGCTTCCACAGTCCACAAAGAGCGGCTAGGGAGAGGATCTTCCACAGTGAGAGGGCTCCCAGAACACGCCCGGAGTTCACTGAGGCGAATCCCAAGCGATTGTTGCCCAAATCGAACTCCGTGTAGTGTCGGCCGATGAAAACGTCGCCCAGAATCCAGAAATCAATGTCCTCTATATACGTGATGCCCAGGGTACATCCGCCATCCAATTCCACGAAGTACGCACTGGGCGGGATCTGGAAGGGTACACCGCTGATGGTGATGGTCAGGGTGGGCAAGTATGAAACGGATGCGCAGTCAATCTCTTGATTGACTAACGATACGATCTTCAGATAAGTGGAGTACGGAGCAATGAGCAGTGAGGTGCCCGTATCGGCGACTGCCTGGCAGTTCGTGCACAAAGTAGTGCCGTCAAGAGTGACGCCGTCCATTTGGAACTGCCAGTAGTTCTGGTTGGAGACGGGAGCATAGACGAGTTTGCCGGCATACAGCGAGGCATCGGAGCCGCCCAGGATGAGCTCTCCTCCATAGCTCGCCACCGAGGTGCCATTGGTCTCGAGGTAGAAGGAGAACACGGGCGTATCCACCAGATGATCGGTCAACAAATTGTAGAAGGGCGGCTGAACACCGTCCACGGCATCACTGTTGTAGGCCATGCCAAAGATGCCGTCGAACGAGGAATCCTGCATGCCAGCGCCCGTCTCTGTGATGGCCTCCCCGAAGGTTTGGTTCCGAATTTTCAGTCCAGCCACGGTCACCACATCCGTAGAGAGGATGCCCGCAACGCTGCCCGAGCCATAGCTGATGGAGAAGGGGGTCCCATTGATCTGATACGTGGTGGAATTCGCGGAGGAGTACTGCGAGTGGTTGTAGCAGTCCAGGCTGTAGCAATTCACGCTGGGAATCCACAGATTGGCAGACCCCGTGTCGAACTGCACCATGAAATTCTGAGGCGGCGTTCCTATGCTGATCTCGCCGTAGTACTGAAAATTCATCAGGTTTGAAAGCGTCTCCACAGAGTAGTTTCCAGCGGGCGTAGTACTGGTGCTGTTGATGCTGGTGCTGGTGCTGGTATTGCTCTGCACTAGATTGTATTTCCTCGACACATGCTCGCGTTCGGCCATGAGACTTTGGCGGGTCCGCACATATTTATCCGAGCGGCGCACGGGTATACGATGCAGGGCGGAACATGCTCCTGCCACCAAGCCCAGAAGGGCCAACAGGACCATAGCCTTGCCGTGGGTGTGACCGCTGGTCATGGTCATGTTGCTTCCCCGAATGTCTTCGACTAACTGTTGTGCCGCCATATGTTTGGGCTTTTATAGCGTCGTGGACAAACACTGGCCACAGGATTTTCGTTATCGACTGCGATTGCGGGAATCAATCAAATAGTTTTACGAATGTTCTTCAGATAACGTTTCGTTAATAGTTCAAGACTCCCTATTGAGTCATATGCCATCTAATGCATATGTTCGCAACTCGATCAGTGAGTCAATTAAATTATTTGATGGATTTAGATAGCTGGCAAATAGATAGAGAGTTGGTCAATCATAAGCGAAACCTTGTAAAAAAAAAACCGAGCAATATCGAATGGAACCCAATGGAATGTCTTATAGAAATATCGATCTAAAGAACAGCCTTTTAAAGAAGTCGTTTATCGAACTAGAAGCTATAACTGATCGAGCACTCAGCATCAGAGCGTCAGAGAAATATAAAATGAGGAATCTACGAATCTTTTGATGATGTCGCGTCCCGCTGGGGGCGCCACTGGACGAGAGTACTGCTGTGTACATCTGTAGTTCTGAAGAAGAAAATAAAGTGTTCTTAAAGTGTAACTCTGTGCAAGCATTTCTAAGACCATCATCTGAATATGACCCGCATGGACGCAGAGTGGTTCTGGGACCCTCAGTACATCCAGTTCAAGAGCAACGGCAGTTAGGTAAAGAGGCAGATGATGGGCAAGTGCGTGGATTCCCTGGGAACCAATTCGCATGATCAATGATCAACCCAAAAACCAGAGTTTGTTACCTGCGAAGGAAACAACCCCTAACCGTTGCTCACCCCCAAGCCGGTCAAGCAGGTCATCCCTTTCAAATGAAACCTGCTGTGAAGGTGTCGTGATTGACTCTGTACTTTCTTCGTTCATTTTTTATTGTTTCCGCTGGTCCTTAGACGAGAAGTCGGTCCTCGTCCCATATACGAGTACTATTACCTGCCATTCCCTTCATTCTGCCATAGAGTTAAAAAGAAAGCAGGTTTTAAGTGGATAAATAGAGAGTCATTTAGAAAAAACCCTTAGTCCTACTCTAATGGTGAAAGTGGTTGGTCAAGACAAATCAAAACAACAATCGTGCGGCAGCAAAATGGCAGCAGACATAGTGTGTGACCTCTGTGCTGAAACTGTGAAAAGCAATCAGTTTGTATCTCATTACGAGAGATGCATGGGTCCCCGAAATGCCTTTGAGACTCTCATGAGCAATGGGACATCCAACAAACACTCTGAGACTCCAAGCATTCTCTGCACAGTTTGCGGAGAGAGTTACCGTCCCACTCGGGAAATCCGGCATCTAATTTCTGAAGGGCATAAGAGTGCTGGAGCCGCTCAACTGAAGGACAATGAAAATGTTACTTTAATTTCAACGAGGTCGCGATTCGCATTGAAAACGTATCGCGTTCACTCCAATAAAGGCGACCAGATTGATTTAAAAGAGTTTTATAGTCAATGTAAGGAGGATATAGTACAAGTATTGCTCTGCTGTCTCAGTGAGTACGTAGCAGTAAAGCTGAATCTAAAAGTACTTGGACCCTACGTCAAGCAAACGGATGGCGACTCTGGAATACTGGAAACAAGGCAGCACTTCGTGACGGCCTACATGTCTGTATATGAAAGTGAACTGACGATCAACAAACTGGATCAAGCTGTCGAGCATTTAATAAATTTGAGCAGTAGCTTCCACGACAGAGATTTGGTTTGGGCAGTGCAGATTTTCAAGTATTTTGAGCTCACGATAATCAGGTTGGACAATGTACCTGGAAATGGACACGTTCGGGCACCACCAACAATAAAATCCCGAAATGCCATAATTAATGTTAAAAGTGCGGATGCTTTTTGTTTCAAATGGTGTGTCTTAGCATCTTTGGCCTATAGCAGACACCTAATCACTGCATTTAAGACATCAAAGCAAAAGGTATTTGCCCGAAAGAAACTAAGCGACCCATGGTACTACATACTGGACATCAGCCGAGACATCATTTACTATGCAGGCCTTAGAGTCGATTTTTCAGGGATTGAGTTTCCAATAACACGCAAAGGAATCAAGCGCTTCGAACTGAACAATTCGGACTTCAGCGTCAATATATTTGAGGTGGATGCCACTGGCAAATTTGTGTTTGGCCCCACAGTACGCACAAGCGAGATTCGGAGCCGACACATTAACCTATTGGGCATAAATAATCAAAATAAACAGATTACCCACTATGCCCTTGTGACGTGCATGAAGAAGTTGCTGTTTTCACAACATAGCAAATCGCATAATTCGGCATATTATTGCCAGTATTGTCTAAAATTGTATTATACCACAAATATACACCATAGCCCTACGAAGTGTGGAGAAAATGCTGCTTCTAGCCGGAAATAAATCCTGAAACTGTTCTAGCTATGAAATGGAAAGCAAATTCTGACATGACAATAATAAAATAAAAACTACAGAAAACTTTAGACTATAACTTAACCATGACCGCTTTAAAATTAGATATAATTTAGATAATGCTAACAGTACATACATAGGTACATAAATATTATAAATTTGCTTTATACATAAATTAATAAAAAAAAAAAAAAGTGGCGGTGGCGGTGGCGGTGGCCGAACACCAGAGCCGAAGACCCTGGGAACCCTATTGAAAACCGAAGATCCCAGCTTCCCATAGAGATATATATAATATATATATAATATATAATATAATATATGTTTATCCGGATAAGCGACCCAAGACTTTCACCTTCACTTTTCCGTGTCCGGGCGAACCAATCAGTCAGCTTTACCAGATTGGATGTTGCCGGAGCGGTGCATCGCGCCTGGTACTGGCAGCTGGTACTGTTATGCCGCAATCCCCTCCACTTACTGCGCCATATTCCACTCTTCCTTTCATATTAGCAGGGGCTTACCGAGGGCTTCATCCTTCTTGACTTCCGGTTCTTATGAGCGAGTGTGGCTCGCTCGTGTGACGGGGCCACGATGCCGTGCGCTCCTCGGGACACGTTTCCTGTCCCGCGAGGCTGATGCCTTTGGCCTGGGCGACCTTGCCGTTCGGCCACTGCAGTGGCTGTTTCTCCACCTTACCGCCGTAGCTTCTCGTCCTCTCTGGAGGTCCAAGGGATGTGCTCCTGGCTGGACTGTGGCAACCACTGGCTATCCCGCCGCGGGCCATAGCCATAAATCCGCTGAGTCGACAATGTGGTGTCCGCTGCAGCAAGGCCCAGTGATCGGCGGCGGAATAGTTGGTTCACGCCCGCGGGAAATAATATCAGCTACCATATATATACATATAAACCGTGAAATATCATTCGTCGGCGCCCCATTACTCATAGGAGAAAGGGTCAAGCAAGGCCTGGAGCGCTCTCTTCTGGCTTTTCAACAACATTTTAAGAGAGCCTCAACATAAATGGTAGGGTCCGTGGTAGTCGTGCTACTAATTACATATTGGATAGGTGGGATTAGTGGGATATATGGGTTAATAGTAGCCTGAAATGAGCAGGAAACACCAAAACAAGCTGGCGTGTATATCTTACGTCCAATCCAATCCAATCCGATCAGATCTGGCCATTCGAAAGCTGTCGCTGGACGCCCGACTCGGTTGCAACACACATTTTTAGCCTAGGAACACTCCATAGAACACTCTCTCGTAGCACATTGGGGAGACCAAATCACACTCAAAAACTAGTTTACATAGAAGCTACAGCTACAATGCTGCCAGCCATCAAAGGCGATAAATGGCAGCAGCAGCGACGCAGCCGGTATGGGGCATGGGACGACCCTGGCGTCTCGATGTTTGCGGTCGTCGGCCAGGAGCCCCTCGACAATATGCTGACCATGATGACGCCGCTGCCGCTCGGGACCAGCGACCTTGACAAGGAGGCCTATCCAATGATTCACAAGACGTCGGATGCCGACGACGCGGTCTTTCGCACTGTCAAGTTCCAGGTGGAGCAACTGGCACTCAATCGCACATTGCAGATGCGTCCGAAGGAGGAGCAGAAGCGCATTGACACCGAAATCATACGGGCCCTTGTGAAAGAGCGCAGAAGCGAGATGGTCGCGGCCAGTCGGCGCATACAGCTCCAGCGGAACGTGCCCGAGCTGCGCGACCTGCAGCTGGAGATAAACGTGGCCAAGACGGCCCTGAGCGTCAGGAAGAGCATGCTCTCGGATCAGAAGCAGAGGTGCCTCAACAAAAAGGCTGAGCTGGACGAGGCCCGTGCCCATCAGAAGCAGCTGGAACTGCAGCTGGGCAAGGAGAAGTTGGTGGCGGAAAAGAAGACCAAAGCCTTCCGTGAAGCACTGATGAGCCAGCTTGCGGAGACAACCAAGAATCGCCTCCAGGAGCAGCAAGAAACCCAGGCAAGGGAGCGACGGGAGCTACTCGAGTTACAGAAGAACTACGCTCTAGAGCAGTCGCAGGAGGCTGAGAAATTGGCGCTGCGGCGCAAAGAGCTCCAAGAATCCCTGAAGAAGACCACCGCCCAGAAGCAAGCCGCCCTCGAAATCGAGGCAAGAAAGAATGTGGGCCGCCCCCAGCGTGGGATCCTCGACTCGTTCGGCCCGAGAACGGCCGCGTTCGTGGCCAAGGACATGAAGCGCCGCGCGGACGAGATCCAGGCCAGAGAGATCAACAGCGCCCGGCTGGGCGCTGAACTCAGTCAGATCCGACGCGATCGGGAGACGAATGACGAGCTGTTCATCGACCTGCTCGAGCGCGAGTACCATGCCAAGGACAGCAAGAAGTTCTTGGAGAAGATTGCGGCCCAGCAGGCCGCGAGCTATGCGAACCGCGAGCAGGTGTGTCTGCAGCGCACAGCAGCCAAGTACTTCCGGGAGCAATGGGCTGCCATCGGGAACAACATCCCACGCGACTCGACCTCCTTTGGCGAGCGTCAGCACCGCCTGAACACCGGCCGCAACGCAATGATGCACGAGAAGAATATGCAGTGCCACCATGAAATGGTTGAGCTGGCCATTGCCAACAAGCACCGCCGTAAGGCCGACGCCGAGGCGACTTGTGGCATTACCTCGGCATTGGCCCAGCTCCAGAACGCAGAGGATCTTGCCGTGAAGGAGGAGCGACTCCGTATGCTCCGCAGCGAGCCCCGGGAGGTGCTCAACGCCATTCGACCCTTCGCCCTCACCGCCAGCGAGCACACGGTCCTCAATCTGGAAACCAGCAAACGTATCTGATTTACACATTCTGCATATTACCCATTCAATGCCAACGTATGCTAAGGCCCAACGAAATCTATTAAAGAAGTTCCTTTCTTCCCCCTTAGGGAATTCAATAATTTATGTTATATTTCAGTTAGCTCTCCACCTATTCCTTGCCATTTCAGGATCTATGAGTCTTGAAAACACAGTGAGAACAGAGCATCGCAGGGAAATGCTGATGCGGCCAGGGCCGCGGCTCTTCTCTTATAGCCGATACTCAGTCAAGTTATTCCATATATTTTAAACCTTCCAATCCATTTCGGAAACGGAAACACTTGCTCCTCCGATTTCGGTTTGGCTTTGTTCAGTTTTTCTTGTTTATTCATCGATTGATTCGCTTAACAACTACATCATAGTATACTAGTATACATCTCGATTCAGATATGGTTGTGTCCTATTATAAGAGGGTCCTTAGAAGGTCTCCTTGCAGAGTTGGGTTGGGGGCTTAGGTATAGGTAGACGGGTTAGCTTTAGCCACAGCTCCTCTCGCGCTGCTTTTACCTCCAAGAAGACTTGTCTTAGCAATCAGTTCCTATTCGCGATCCACGATCCTTGACAGCTTACAGACTAATAAATGCATTTCGCCTCCGGTACGTTTTCAACTTGTTCCAAAGTTTTGGTTTCGGTTTTGTTTTGGTTTTTTTTTTTAGTTTTAGTTTTTTTTTAGTTGGTAAAATTTGAATTGATTTCGATGCTGCTTGGAAGTAAAAGCGCAAAAAGTTGATCCAAAGCCTCAAAAAACAAGCAAAAATTATAAAACAAAAAGCACTCACTCACATAACAAGAGATTAGAGAACAGAGTGAAAAAAAAGGTTCTATAAATACCATTCAACCGGTTGGAATATGTACAATAAACAAATTAAATGGAAATCTATTCCATAATATAAATAAATAAATATACAACTAAATGCAACTTAATCGAATGACATATAGACATCTATATAGCGACCCTCAACTTATCTATAGGGATCTATTTATAGTATACAATAGGCGGATAAATGCACGCAGCGCAACAAACGAAACAAAATTCGAGCACCCACAGAACACACGCACACTATCTTCAACTAAATCCTACTAATACACAGTATAGGGGAAGGGGATAAGGATAGGGGGAAAGGATCAAAGGACAGCTAAAGTGCTTAGTCAATCACCATCGACCAGGGATGATCCACCCTGCCGTACTGGATGTCGGTTAGCGTCTCGCGGATCAGCTCGTGGACAGGCTTCTCCTGCTCCATGGTGGGGACATAGAGGTCCTGGCCAAGGTAGTTGATTCGATTGACGGGACTAACAACGCACGCAGTGCCCGCACCGAACAGCTCCAGCAACTGAAAGCACAAGGATCGAAGAAAAACTCAATTAGAACAGAAGTCAGGGCCAATGCAATCATCAGTTCGCTTACCCTTCCTTGGTTGAGCAGCTCACAGACCATGGGCATGGTGATATTGGCTTCGCGCACCTTAAACTTGCCCCACTGGCGGGTCATGTTCAGGATGGAGTCGCGTGTAATGCCCGGCAGGATCAGGCCACTCAGTGGCGGCGTTATCAGTTCTTGTTCTGAAATGGAAATGGAAACGGAAATGAAAACCAAATTTATGGTATGCTAGTGCCACTCGCTACTCACCTCCTTGATCGTTCACGTAGAACATGAAGATGTTCATGGTGCCCACCTCCGTCAGCTGGTGATCTTCACCGTACAGCCAGAGCACCTGCTGGAGGCCCCGTGCAGCCGCCTCCTTCTGCACATTGATGGTGGGAGCATAGTTGGAGCCCATCTTGCGATTACCGACGCCGCCGGGCCAGGCGCGTGTATAGGCGGGATCGGCCAGCAGGGAGACGGCACCCGAGGAGCCAGTCTTAAAGTAGCTGCCCACCGGACTGAGAATGGCGTAGAGCAGGGCCGAGTCTGAGGACGCCACACCCAACGTGGGCTGAGCGAGGATCATCAGAGATTAGTTGACTAGATCAGGGATCAGGGACCAGGGATCAGGAATACTCACATCGATGCCAATGAGGGTAGGGCGGATGTACAGGCTGGCGGTGTCCGTGTGCGGCACCCACTCAGAGTCGATGGTTAGCAGGCGGGACAGGCACTGAACGAACTCCTTACCTTCGAAGGTGGGAAGGCCGGAGCGCTGGGCGGCCAGGTTCATGCGGGCCATGTTCATGTCCGGACGGAAGATGCGGATCTTTCCATCGACCCCCCGGTACGCCTTCATGCCCTCGAAGAGCTGCAACGAATCGATCGATCAGTCAGTCGCCTGATAAGACACCATTTGGCAACAGCCAGCAGCCGCTACAGCGATCGGATGAGATGAGATGAGATGGTATGCCGATGACGATGGTGATGGCAATGACTCGACATCAGCATATATCACACGTGTCGTAGCGTGCCGTCTGCCTTGTCTACAGTTACTGCTGGGTCATCCAAAGATTACGATACGGATGGTTGATGGTGTGTGGCGGGTGGCGGGTGATCGGGTGAACGAAGGGTGAGTGGCAGAGCTGAGCCTGGAGTGGAGAGCGGTTGAGCTTACCTCTACGGCGTAGTGCAGGACCTTGGCAGCGGGATGCATGACCAGGTTCTCCAGCGGCGTGATCTCTGGCTTTTGCCAGCCGCCTAGGCTCTTGTGGTAGTAGATCTTCAGCATGTGGTCGGTGAAGAGGCGGCCAAAGCCAAGCTCCTCGTCGTTGTCCGGCTTCGGCTGTAGCTGTTGGGGCGTGGCCAGGCGCACCGTCAACTGTGAGGCCTTGAATAGATGGCCCAGATCCTTGTCGTGCTTGACGGGCTCCGGGGCATGTGTGTACTGTGTGTTCACCGAGGCGGTGATCTCAAAGTCCACCGAGGACTTTTGCAGCTGCTGGGCCGCCTGGGCTGCCTTCAGCGACTGGTTGCTGCACAGGCGAATGGACTGGGCGATGAACTTGATCATTCGATGCTGGTTGCGGAAGATGTCCTGCAATGAAAAGAACGTATACGGCACACGGTCAGAATGTACGCTCCACCAAGTTGAGTGACTCTAAAGAGTTCATGATTGTATGCTAATTTTGGTCTAAACCCAAAATTCGATTTCCGAAACATCAAATCAATTTGCACTCTAATTAAAATCCACTTTCGATTTGCATGACAGTCCGTCGCCGTTCACCCAGAGGAGTGGGAATGGGAAGGGAATGGGAATGGGAATGGGCTTCAGCAGGAGCCTTACCCGTCTAAATTCTGGGTCAGATCTGGGTCGCTAATCAGCAGAGTTCGGCGGAGACTTGTTTTGCTGATGCCTGCCCTGCGCTAAGCTGATCTTAAAGCTGATGAAATACCCCAAACTATAGACTAAGCCTTAGCCCCAGTCAATGTTAAAACTAGTCCAAAACTGCCATCATATGTCGCTGACATTGCATCAGCCGAAATATTTGTACAAAACAACAACGACTCGTTAGTATGTATGTATAAACATAAAAAATAGAGTTCAAAAACTGGTCGACTAAATGTCTGCCAGATCCGAGCTTATCTCTCCCTCCGCCACCAGCCGTAGCCTACGATCTAGCGCCATAGATTACGAGTACGCCCGAGAGGGCAGTAGATAACATGTCTCCATAAATTCCCAAAATAAAACATAATGTGTTCTATTTTTAATGGATCAGAGAGTGGGCACTGGGCACTGGGCACTGGGCACTGGGCACTGGGCACTGCTTCTCTCCAAATGCTCGCACAATAGCTGATGAATCAATCAGTATTAATGACTGGAAATACTATCTACTGGGTTTAACAGGATTTAATGAAGTGGACTCCAGTACGAATACGTTTCACCATTTTTTTAATGGATTGTCTCCAGATTCTTCGAGAAATTCGATGGAAGACAATCATTTTAAATAATTGCCAGTACAATGTTCTCCCATTTCGGCTAGAAGACTTCCAGTTCATTCACTTTAAAGATTTAAAGTGTTTCTGGATGAGTTTGCTGTTGTTGCTTTGGACATTGATAAACAGCGTCGTGATTTCCATTTAGTAATACAGATACAGGCAAATACAGATTTTGAGACTGTTGCCAACTTATTAAAAATTGTTTAATTAGGCTGCGCGAAGGGAAACATAATTTATGACCTGTCTGAATTTAGATAGGAATATTAATAGATTTAGATGAGACGTCGATTGGGGCTGGAGAGTTCGATTTCGCGGATGGTAGCATAATGTCTTGGAATTCGATTTCGACTGGATTTCTTTTATACATAAATCGGTTCAAGTTTGGACGGAGCTCGCTTAGATATTTGACGGTATTTCTATTGATTTGCGGTGTAGGCTATTCAACAGGGTACAAACCTTTGCGTTTATTGCCATTTTGGTAGTCATGTTGCTGCCTATAAACTTTCTTTCCCGTTTTCTCCGATCTCGCAGACTCTCTTCGGTTCTTCTCTTCGCTTCCCGCTCTTTTGGCAAAGTGTCTTTCGGTGTTTGGGTTTGCTTAAACGTTCACGTTCTCGTTCTCACTTGGGCCTGGGCCTGTCCTTTGCACTTTGTCTCACTTGAATTGATTTATTGTTTCGCGTTCAGGGAATTGCACTCTACCGCACTCGAACACAGCAAAAAAAACACTGATATATCATAAAGTTTAAATATTTAATTGGGTTTCGATTTGCTTCTGCTTTGCTTCTCTTCAGGTATCAGGTATTCTTCTCGCACATGTGTGTCTGAACGAGTCGCTGCACGAAATGAGCTGCTGTCGCGTTGCGCTCCTCTATCTATAGCCGCCGCGGCGGTGGTCAGCACTTGGGTGTGTGTGTGTGAGCAGGTCGTACGATTATCAGAGAATCGGAAGAATTGCTTTCGAAGAGACGGCGCTCGGCGGCAGAGCGCCCTGTTTACCGTTGAAACCTAGCCGCAGATTAAGAGAATTTGCGCAGAAAGCGCGAAAGAGAGGCAGCCAATACACTGTACACTGCACTCCCAAAGTCGAATAAAATCAGTTCGGTTTTCAAAGCGCTCCTCCTCCTCCTTTGGCACAGCAAAGTTTTCACGAGTGGCCAATTTTCGTGTTGGTCAGTGTAGCCCACAAGACACACAGCACAGCATATCAAATCGAATGTTTTTACTCCCTCTCTCGCTCTGGCTCTCGCGTCGGCTCCCGTACGACTCGTGTTTTTGAAAACACGATTGACGGCCCCCTTGGTGGGGGGTCAGTAACAGTACCCCCCATGGGCTGTACGTACTTATTTGGACGCACCAATCCGACGACGATCTTTGGTAGGCAACGATATTTTTTTTTCTTTCATGTTTTTTCAGCGATTTTTTTTTTGCTTTTTACTTTTTGTTGCTTTTTGGGACTCGGCGCAGAAACCAATTTCAGGCCATTATTTTCAGCTGATTTTGGGTGACATATTTGTTCGAGTTGAATTTTGGGCGGCTTCTGGTAGTCTCTTCTAGTTTCTAGTTTCTCTAGTTCTTTCTTTGTTTACTCGGTTTGGTGCCCGTGTACTTTTCCATTAAATGTGAGAACATAAATAAATAAGTACTATATGCCCAGGTACATACGATATGTATGTACATATGTACATACATATGTGTATACTTGTGGAAATATCCGTTTTTTTCCTACATATGTATGTTCCATGGGGGTTTTTCCAGTAAAACACATACATAGATAATGCTCCGCCAGTAATGAAATCGTTCATTAAGTTCAGTTTCTTTACTGCTACCACTATCTGCGCCCGTTTGCCCTAGGAAAGCTACGGAAATGATCGAGATCGTGGTGGTATGGAAAATCGCTGTCTAAATGACGCACACATGTTATCGCCTCTTCCTCTCCTACTACCTGGCTAAGGAGCAGCTCCGTTTTTTTTTCTTTTTTTTTGTCGCGTTTCTCCTTTTATTGTGCGAAAAAAATTATTTTGGGAAATATATGAAGGAAAATTGTTTTTCCACTCAGCCGAACAACATGATGTGCACATTTCGCTTTGTTTTTTGTATTTGTAGTTTCCCAAACTGATAAGGCACGTTCGTTCCCCGTTTTGTGTTGTTTTCCAAGCAACAGATTGTGCAAAAAACACACTCGTGAAAGGTTACATATGTACATACCTAGAGCAGACACCAATTTGAATCCTGGCTGATGCAATATCTAAATCGAGAACATCATGATCATAGCTTTTATGCTGCCCACTGCCATGTGCTTTGGGTGTAACTTAAGAGAGCAGAGAGCATAGCTTACAGCAGTGCGCTAAGAGCAAGCATTACATGGCGCTCTCTGTACGTGTCTCTTTCTGTGTTTGTTTCTCTTTGGCTGCTGCGCTGCTGCTGCGCTGCTGCTGCGCTGCTGCTGCTGCTGCTGCTGGTTGATAAACAAATAAATTATCGTTGTCCTCATCGTCTTCATCGCTTCATGCCTATCGCGCGATACAAATACGAATAATTTCAATGTCAATGTACTGGACAGACTGTGTCTCTGTCTTTGTCTCTGTCTCTGTCTCTGTCCCTCGCACTCGCACTGACCCTGCCCTGTTGTAATGTGTGTCTGTGGGTTAGCTCTGAGATAGCTCTCTCTCCGTCTGTCCATCTCCTTAGTGGGTCACAGTGGCTGTGGCTGACCTTCGACTGGCTTCTTTCCTTTTCCTTTTCCTTTTCCTTTCGCTCTAGCATTCTCTCGCCCTATCTTTGTCGTTCTTTAGTATGGGGTGTTATTGTTATTAATAATATGTTAAGGCGAAGATCAACAAATTTGCACGAAAACAACTTGATAAACGATTCCCACGTGCATGCGTATGTATGTATATTCCGACGTAACTGAAAGATAAACAAACAATAAACGTGCACTGAGCGAAAGTGTAACGGGAATGGGAATGGGAGGCGCAGGTTATCCGATAGACGGGAACGATTAACGAGTGCACCGCACATCGAGAGCAAAAGTCACTGAACTGCTTACACTGCTTACATTCGAAGGCATGATCAAGGACGCCCACATTTGTGTGAATGACTGTACATACCATACGTACGTACGTATGGGGGGGTGTGTCCGTGTATGTATACAATATCTCACTATCTGCATGTGTGTGTGTGTGTGTGTGTACATGAGTGAGTGTTTTTTGGAGGCGCGTTCGCTTCAAACGGGCCCACTTTTCTCATGTATGTGTGTATAGATATACATATATGTACATACATATGTACATATATTCAACGTCGCCACATGAGGCGTATGCGTAATATGCTGCCTTAACCTCCCCCCACTGCCCTTCCCCACTCGCATCGACTGACATGTTTTTTCCCCTGAATCTTTACAATCATTTTTTTATTGTTTTGATGACTTATTTTCGATCCGTTTTCCTTACCTTGATAACCAAACGCGTCATCGGAGAAGCACAGCATTCGGACTCGATCTCATTTGCATATACGAGTATACCCGTATAGCCCCAGAGTGTATTGGATTCTTGAAGAGGCAAAAAGGGAACCCAGAGGTCAGCAGCATCCTATGCACACTGCGTAGGTTAGGAAAGTGGTTTGCCTGCACTGGAATGTATGCGTGGCGAGCCCTGATACAAACCTATCCCAAACAGATATTACGTGCAAATTCATCCCTGAATAAAATCTATTGCCCACACACCTAGAGATATGCACACTGCCATTTGATTGGTATAATTCGTACTTCCTATTTCAATCATTACAATGCAAACTAGGAAGTTCGAGTGTATATCTTTTCTATCTTGTCGAATCATCGTAGGAGTATCTCTTTCTCTGGTTGTTTTTGTTTCGTTCTGTAAAAATATTCACTATGTTTTCACCGGAAATGTATCACCTTGCTGTTGTTAACCCAAAATTGGGCTTGAGCTCTTGCTAATTCGAAAACGAAATCGAATTTGCAAATTACGCACTTGATGGGCACGAAACGGTGGCAGCAGCAGGGTGAGATGGTGGCGGAGGGTGGTGGCGGTGGTGGTGCATATGTACAATGACGTAAAATCGGATTGGGGTTCAGCGGAGATCGAGCTACTTTAATCGCAGCCAAGAGCCAACTATGTCGAGGCAATTGGAACTGCGGCACCCCGCTTAGGCATGCGCTGCCCCTTCCGCCCGACTCTCGAGTCCCGAGTGATCCAATTCAATGCGATTCACAAATTCAAATATCGCTTTGTTCGTAATGCTAGGGGGCTATAGGGTTTTACGGACGACGCAGTATCAATCGTATGATATGGCTACGATATAGGCAGTTAAAGGTATTTGCTGCCGCTTAAAAAACTGATCAACTGATCATCTGGCTCTTTTTTTTTTTTTGCGCCTTATCAATCCTCTGACGCAAGGCCCTGGCACACGCCCTCCCCAAAAACGAAAGAAAGAACCACTCATGCTCAGTTATCACCTCCACGCCCACTGTTTTCCCCGGTCCCCGCCTTCCGTCGGTCCCCGCGATCACAAGATACACGTTTCCGGAGCTTTGGCTGTCAGGGAGTGCGGAGAGATAAAACTGTCCCAAGCACAGATACAAAGACAGATACAGAGCACCACATGATCCCGATCGGCTAGCTGGGTTGATGAATGCGGCTTTATCGCAGAAGCCCCATCTCCTGCCCCATCCCCTGCACCACACGACACCACACCACACCACACCACACCACGCACCCGGTGACAAATCATTCAAGAAGCAAAAAATAATGTAGATAGCACTTTAGTCAGCAGACCATCATTGGGTTGGGAATCCGCAAGTCATTTTCAGTGCGGATATGGGCACGTATATATGTACATATATCCTGTGTATATAGGATACATATAGGATACATATGTACATATATGCTCTGGCTTTTTCTACTTATTTTCCGAATTTATTCAGACAGTTATAGGAAATTTATGAGTCGCTTGATCATGTGAATGAATCCATTGGATCGGTATAAATTCAATGGAAATTATTTGCGGTTCTCCTACAAGAAACGACATGAACCTTACCCTGAACTTGATTTATTCCTTTAAAGATCTGCTCTAATACACGTACTATCCCGTCTACTGGGATAACTTTAACATTGGTACAATATAAATATACATATGTACATATATACATATATGCGATGGATGTTTATTATGGCCAAGAATCGTGGGCGGTGGAGCTAAGTGATTTATTTGCTTACGCGAGAGCTTTCTTTATTTTCTTGTTCGGCTGTCGGTGCTCCCCTGCTCTCCTCGCTCTCATCCCACAATCCACAATCTATATACTCGCACATTTTTTACTGCTCAAGGTCTTGTCCCGCCCTGCCACATGCCTGCCAACTCCCCCGTACCCATGGTAGCCTCCAATTTTCACTGTCGATCTTTGGCATTCAAATATAGCACTTATGAAAACAGAACAAAATGGAGAAAATAAAACAATCGTATTTTTTGTCGGTGTTTACCAGCTGCGTTGATACTATCTCTCTAATTGATTCTTTTCGGGAATTCTTTTCAAGGTTAGGGATAGTCGTGGGGGTATATGTAGTATGTACACAGATTCGCAAGCAGTGGATAGATAGATAGAGCGAGAGAGAGAGAGAGAGAGAGAGAGAGCAAGTTGGAGGATCATAACGTTTTACGATATTTTTAACGATCGCTCTTTATGAGCGGTGCCTGATCTCGTGTCCAGATCGCGTGCGGCCATCGGTAGAGGTCCATAGAAAAAAATCCCAAATTTAATGGAACCGACAAAATACCCACTATATTCCTATGGAGAGTCAATGACACGTGGGGCGCTCAAAAGAAGAACAAGACCTGAAAAAGTAATGTACGAGAATGTTTGTGCTTTGTTGTATACACTCAGATCAACAATTATTCGTACACCCGACTCACCCGATAAGTACAAAGGTCCGCCGAAAGGTCCGATTTCCATTGTATGTATGTATGTATGTACCTTTGTGCAGAGAGTATTTTCTGAATTTATTGAATTTAACCAATTGACATATATTTTCATTAGCTTGGATCTAAAAACATATTAACTTAACCAACAATTTTTGTATGGTCATGTTTTCCTTTACTATTACCTCCCATAAGAAAGTATTGAAGTATTGAAGTATCCCATAAGAAAATATTGAACTATCCAACCTTTTATTACCACGGAATCTGGTAACGTAATGATAGATGCCTTCGCGGATTTATAGCAAAAGGAAAACAAGAAAGGAAAACAGGAAAAGAAATAAAAGGTCTTTAAGACCTTACATTCGATTGTTGTGATTTTTCTGGTGAATATACATAGGGCTTCCTTTCGTATTATTCAACTATGAAATGCCCACATATGTTAAAGATGTTGAGGAATACACAAAAATATGATCTCTGGGATAGAAGATTCTTCTGATTGTACTGCACTGTGTACTGGATTTATATAAAGTTTGTGCTTTGCTATTGGGAAAAGTGTTAACTGTATGTTAACTGTTGAAATTCTCAACTTTTGCTACCATTCGATACTGGCAGGGTATGAGAGAGCGTATAAGGCCAACCAGAGCGAGAGAGGGGGCGAGGGCCCGTCTACATAGGGGGGTGGGCATGTTTAAGGGTGGAATGGAAATACTTGAGTGGAAATCTGATCTTATACTTTGCCCTGCAGCTAGCATACTTTTGGGTGAGCCAACCATCGATGAGCATCAGCTAGTTGATCAGTTGTTTATCGTTTTTTCGTTAGAATCTATGCTAAATGCTAAATGGTTACACACACACACACACACACACACACACACACACACACACACACATGGAGACGATCACCCACCATTTACATAGGAGCTCGCAATTTACCTGCGCGTGGCCGGGTCGAAAACGCAAAACTTGATTCGGCAAAACGACAAAAAAAAAACGGCACACAAAGAAATACGAGAAATAAGACGAACAAATATGTGTCTAGTTGGCAAGTCAATCAGTCAGAAAACAGAGGCAGAAAGACAGACAGACCGACAGGGCGACACAGCGACAGACAGACAGCAAGTGTCCAAATGAAATACTTTGTATCGTACACACACACATGCACACTCGCCACTGTGCGTGTGTGAGTGGCACCTGTTCGAATCTGGCTGCCTACATTATACGCGCTCTTTGCCCGCCGGCGCGCGACTCTTTGGCTCTTTTTGCAAACATTTTGGCTGTCTCTATGCTGCGCGTGTGTCGCGCTCTTCGGCACCGCCTGCGGCTTACCACATTCTTCTCTGCTCTATCAGTCTTGTCTTATATAATAAACGTACACTTGTACACATCTTTTGGCCGGAATTGCGAGACGAGCCCTGAAATCTGACCAATCCGCAAGCGCTGGCCGATGACTGTGGATTATCTCACACACACACACATGACAGGTGACGCAGTGCGTCAGCAGATATGCTACATACATTCATACATATATCTGTTCTTAATGGGTAAATAGTGTCTTTGCTGGGAAAACGAGGGGGGGGAATAACCAGATGGGTCTAGATGGGAAGTCTATTTATGTAAAAACTAACACACACGTAGGTATGTGTGTTTGCATGTGCATATATATGTACATGTGAAGTAAAGATCCATCTTGGATCATAATTATAACTAATTCTTTTCCCTTATAATAACTATCACCATTATATGTTCATATATGTATGTACATAACATATTTATGTATGTATGCATGTATATCTTTTGACAAGAGCGATAAAACAATAGTCTGTTTGTTCTATAGATTGTTATATCACTAATGTACGATATATCGATGAATGTTTTAAAAATTCTTTACCCAAACAAAAATTTAAAGCAATACAAAATTAGGGTATTGCCTATAATATGGTCCCTGATATGATTTAATATATTTATACCATATGTACGTACACATGTGTATGTATGTACATTCTGACCGAGATACCTATCTCAGCCCAATCGGAATACATATTTCTAACGACATTCTGTTGCTACCTGGCTGCTCGCCGAAACTCGTCGACAATATATGTACATATGTATACAACAAATGTCTGGAAAAGGCCCCCAAACTGGTCTCTGATCAGACACAAATCCAAATCAAAATACATAAATAAATGCAAAAAACAATACAACAAGAAAGCTCCAAATAAATTGAACGCAAATACATTCAAATTGATGCCAAACCAGAGACCAGACAAAGGCGAAACAGTTCGCCATTTACTTTCGAGTAGCCTCAAAGAAACTTCGATTTGTGAGACCCATCAAATGGCATTTAATTACGAGTCTCTCGCTTATTTTTTATAATTTGGGAACTTTCATTATCAATGTCAAGCACGATTCTAATTAAACGCTTTCGAAATAAAAAAACAAAAAAAAAGCGAACTCTGAAAGTGATAAGGTTTGACGGCTGTTCGTTCCATTAATGGCTATGGATATGAGGAGAAAATGTACATATGTATGTATGTATTTATGTTGAGCAGGGAGAGAGCGTCAAAGGACTTTTTAAAGGATGATGTTCTCATCCCATAATTGATACCAAGGAATTTTTTAATTGCAAAATACTCGTTCAGCTATTGATCTATACATAGTACATGGTAGGTAGGTATATTTTTGTATGCTTCGTACATTCTCGTCCATAATCAGCCTCCTATCGGTTAATGGGATGGGTTTCGTGATTTATTTTTAAAGTCGCTGGCAACCAAAGCTTATCAATCTATTGGGTAATGTCAGGGGGAAGCATGTGCGGAAGGAGAAGGAGAAGGAGGGCAATGGGGAAGCTGAGGAGGTGGGCCTGGCATCGCGTGTTTGGGACTGTTGCTAGAGGGTCTCTTATCGCCATCCACTGAGATCGATGTGCGTCATCGCGTTGGGATCTGAAGGCTGAAGGGCTTCCCACTGGCACAGATCCTGCTCTATATAGTACTCCAGTTTCAGCTCCATTGGTCATTGTACCCGAAAGTCCATTGCAGTTACTGACATATGGCAGATCGGTATTCGGTTACGCTAGTGATTTGAACCGGTTCGGACAGCCATTCACCAAGCATTCACGCATTACATCCGCCGAGATCTAATTGCACAGTCCCCGTACTTATGTGTATGCATATAAACCACATGAACATGTGGATCAAACTGGTTGGTTCGACGCCAGATTAATCAGTCTTCAGCCCGCACGAGGCTTTCCTACATGGCCCGCATCGGGGTGCACTTACTTCAGACATACATAGATACATAGATACATAGATCAACAAAATCTTTGGCGTGGCCGAGTGTACCGTACATAGACTCGTCTGTATTTACAAGGTTTTCGAAATAAATAGTTACAATACAATGCTTCGTTTGCTGAGGTAGGGGCGCTCGCAGACAGTGCCTGTTAGGGAATTTTTTTGATGTGCGACTTTGTGTGCTTCACCTTCGACGTGAGCACGTCGTAGCCGAGGCTGATGATGTTGTCGTAGAAGATGCGGTAGTGGGTGGGTATCCAGTAGAAGTTTATGAACTGCGCCGCCGGCCACACTGTCCACTCGGCCGCGTACAACTTCCAGGCCTTGTCCTTGATCTCATCCCACACCTCGTGCTTGTCCTTCTGCTCGAGTAGTCCTAGGGTGACAAAGAAGACGCTGATGTAGACGGGCGAACAGATCAGCTGGTCGAGCACAATTTTCTTGGCCACCACGCGCATGCTGCGGCCGGGCATCCGCTTGTCTAGCATCTTGTACCAGAAGTGGCAGATGATGCCCACGGTGACACCGCTGGTGGCCATGTGGCTGGTGCGCAGGCTGTCAAACCGTTCGATCTCCCCACTGTAGATCTCCAGGTGTTGCTCCATCACATCGCCGAGGCAGCTGAGCGTCAGCGAGATGCCCACGTTGGTGAACAGCAGGAACCTATTACTGAACGCTCTGGCGTGCCACTCACGCAGCTTCTGCATTAGTTTGGCGCGAGAGCGGAAGCCGGAGCCGGACCCAGTGCCAGAGCCGGTGCCAGTGCCACTGTCGGTGGCAACATTCCGCAAGAGGTTCAGTCTGATCAGGCGCCCGCTGCTCGCCGCCGTTGAGAAGAGGATCCGGGCCTGGCAGCGAAGGGATTGCATATTGTTTGTTTGTAATGTGCGAATAGTTTGGAGGAGTGTGGACGTAACAGAATACGGTTTCACGGGTCGGTTGGGTTGAAACGAAATTTACATGGTCGCCAATGCAGTGCGTTGCAGCCACAGGTCGGTCCAAAGGTTGCACTGTTGATGTTTAATTTATTCTAAACCTAATTTAAACCGTTTTGTACATGATTTTCCTAAATATTTAATAGACTTGACTTTTAAAAGGCCAAAAGGCCAGAAAAACAGGCCAACAACAATCACGTGTAGTAGCAGCTGTTCAACCAGGGCTGGACATGTTATCGACCCATCAACCGATACGTACAATGTCACTGTAACTCAAAACGCAGCTAAAATGTCTCGAAACTATATATATTCTTAATGGAGATATCGTTATAAATCATTATATTCACCTAAAATAATCGTAGTAGCAAGTAAATATTTACTTGATGCTTTATTATATCGATGGCTCATTCGATACTGATATCGATAGTAGAATATAGCGACAACTCTAGAAAGCATTCCATTGCGTTTTGTTTTATTTTTTTTGCAAGCGTCGCAATAAACAAGTTGTGAATCTTAATCGGTGATTGTCAGTAGCTGCCTTGAACCCGCCCCCCACATCAGTTGTTAAATCTGTAATCGTCCGTCTCCTGGGTGTCCACTGCTGAGCGATCGCAGTCAAGAGTCCACCCAACAGCTGGGGTGAGGTATGTATGTACATATCATAAGTATGTATGTATGTGTAGCTTTTTGTTGTGCAAAGTAAGGCAATTAATGTACTCCAAAACAAAAGCACAGCAGATAAGCATTACAACGATTGCATCGCGCACTGTCATAGCGTCTGGGAATAGCACTTTAACCATTTTTCCGCCTAGATTCCAAGGCAAACAAAGGAACGCTGCTACACACAAACACGGCCGCAATCACACCAATCTCTAGCATACACACACTAGCGCACTGGGGGAAAGAGTGAGAGAGAAATGGGACGCGTATTTCTGGAGCACCTGGGAGGCCTGAAGCTATTCAACTGCGCCCAGTGCCACACAAACCTGACCAACCGCAGCCAACTGATCAGCACGAGATTCACTGGAGCGACGGGTAAGGCACATCCCTCCATAACCCATCGAGGAGTTATGCAACGGATGGCAGCTGGAACTGCATTATTATTATATCTCATCGCTCCCACAGGCCGTGCATACCTGTTCAAACGCGTGGTCAACCTGACCTTCAGCAACATCCAGGAGCGTGTCATGCTCACCGGGCGGCACATGGTGCGCGACGTCATGTGCAAGAACTGCGGTGCCAAACTGGGCTGGATGTACGAGTTCGCCACCGAAGAGTCCCAAAAGTGAGTATCCCGATCGCACTGATAAGATCCGCACCCTAGCTCCTTCACTCCGCTCCTCTCGCTTTAGATACAAAGAGGGACGCGTCATCCTGGAGTATGCATTGATTAATGAGGCCGAGGGCTTTCCCGCAGAGGCGCCCACCACGAGTCACTGAATCTGAGCAAGAACAGTGCTAGCCGCTGGCATACCAGTCCAGCCCGCACCAATTCGCACCCTGAAGAAAGCATAAGCATGCATAAGGCGAACCGAACCGCGCATAACCCTTAGTATTGAATAGCAAGCCGAAGGCGAGGGCTTTTATAAATTAAGCCTAATTTAGAGAACAGATCGCCGTAGTCAATGATTGAGCTCCGTGTCCGTGTCGTGTCTGTGCCCAAAGCGGGGAGCATGATCATCTCATCCCGACAGAAGACGAGCCTATGGCACTGTCTTAACGATACTTAAACGTAGTTTTAGGCATTTAGCACATAAGCAGCTGCGGATCCGCTCCCCTATTGTAAAATACGTCATGAGGCTGAACTGCTAAAAGGTTCGGTTCCGGTCGCTGTGGAAACTCACAAAAGGCGAGCCAACCAAACGATTGATCCGAACAGATTACCCTTAAATAATCACATTTGTGTCTTTTTTTAAACGAGATCTCTAGCCCGTAAATAAATCAACAATAAAGCACACTGATCCATCGAATATTACAACAATTTAGGGCGCTTAGCTGTTTGTTCTTTGGTTCTTTAGTTGTCATCTCTTTATTTTTGGTCACAAATGCATCAAAAATGCATTCATTTCTATAATTATTGGTGTGTGTCCATTGTGTTTCTTTTCGTCTAAAAGTAATATCTCTAGTTTTATTTCCGAAGCTTTTTCTCCATGGCCAAAGCATTCTCGTTGGCAAGCATTTGGAATTCCTGGAAGCGCTGTGACACCCGCTGGTTCATCTTCAGGTACTTTTCCATACAGTTCAGCGAGCATGTCTTCTGCAAAAAACACAAATGCCGGATGGATACTGGTCAATTGACTGAGCGAATCTCATCTCATCTGACTTACCTCGCTATCCTTTACGTCACGGGATGTGAAGTCGCGAACGCAGTCTGTGAAGCACATCTCGGATAGACGGTTGTAGGACAACAGAAAGTCGGAGAACTACATGGGTGGATCAGCGGTTAGGTTAGTGAATTTTTCCACAATGTGTATAGACCATCGGCTGCATTGCATCACGTTGGGAATGATGTTGCGGAAATCAGGCGCGAATAATGCCTTTGCACTCACCGTCTTCATCTGCTCCTTGTCCAGCTCACTCAAAGCAATTCTTTCCGGCGTTTTATCCATGTTCTTTTGTTATGTTTAATTGAAGTTTTCTCAATAATTAGTTATTCAAGGGGAATTGAATTGAATATATAGTAGGGACAGCAGTGCAATGTGACCTTATCGATATGACATACGGTCTGACCCTCAGAAATATACCAGAACTATGTCATATATTTCAAAACAAACCGTAAATGTACTGACGAATTTTTTGTATTCAAGTTGCATCATATTCCTCGTTTTGGATATTGCGTGGAATATAACTAGCTAGCTAATACCTGACGGTCTGAACTCCTAATTGTATCCGATTAAAACATCAATTTCCTACTAGACTAGTTAACTTTATCTCATCAGTTCTCATCTCTATTGGATTGTTTATAAAATAAGGTTTAAGCAAAAGCGGTCAACCCTAGAAAAGTTACCATGGATCTACATCGGCTATTTATTTTAATAAATATAAGCAGGTCCTATCTACAAGAAGAATTTGCAAACAGTATTATTTTCCGCGGTTTGATTTAAGTTGTTACCCAGTTTCAATAAAGGGGGCTTAAGTGGGCTAAGTTTTTTCATCGGTATATTTACGGTATATTGTCGCAACGATTCAGTATATTTTGGTATTTTCGCAGGTGGAAATTTACGCAGAAACCGAAATAAAAATAGCATCGACCGCCGGAAAACTACTGCACAAAGGTACGCAACCCTTGCACGGTGGAGGCCAACATAGCAGATAAGAGGAAACAGCAGCAGCAGAAGGAGGAAGAAGAAAATTCGTCAGTGTATTTGTAGTATATTTTTAAAGTGACGCGGTATATCTAGGTATATTTTGGTATATTTCAGAGGGTGCTAATCCGGCAGCCATCTTTTTTTTCAATACAATCAAAAATTTTCTGCTGGGTGGCTGGGCGTGTCTTTCGAGTGCTGGAAATCAAAAATTTTCAGCAACGCAATTGCAAGTGATTTAAAAAAAAAAAGTAGAAGCATTAAGTATTTACAAACCGGAATAAACCCACTAACACACATCGCGAAAATGCCACGATACCGGGAATGGGACCTGGCCTGCAAAGTCTACGTGGGAAACCTGGGCTCATCTGCCTCCAAATACGAGATTGAGAATGCGTTCAGCAAGTATGGACCCTTGCGCAACGTTTGGGTGGCCCGCAACCCGCCAGGCTTTGCATTTGTGGAGTTTGAGGACCGTCGTGATGCAGAGGATGCAACCCGTGGCCTGGACGGAACCCGTTGCTGTGGCACACGCATTCGCGTGGAAATGTCTTCTGGTCGGTCACGCGAAGGACGAGGCGGTGGCGGCGGCGGTGGTGGTGGCGGCGGAGGAGGTGGCGGTGGACCGCGTCGTGGCGCCCGAAGCGGTAGTGGGGGCGGCGGCGGCGGTGGTGCCCGTGCTGGGGACGGCGGTGGACGATATAGGTGAGTCTCGGCAATAGGTTATGAAATTATTAATATGTTCGTTTACATGTGTAGGTGCTTACACACACACAGAGCGCGCGCACACACGCATGCAGATGTGCATGCAGAATATTTATGGTGCCATCGGGCCGTGCATGTGTGCGTGCGTGTGGTTTCGAAAAAATCGATTTTAGTATACATACACAAGAGAAAGAAAAGAAAAAAAAAGAAAGAAACATTGATTACATGTACATGTCCATGCCTGGTGCGCGCCGCGCACAGCGGCGTCTGCACAGTGGGGAACGGAACAGTCGATTGCGCACAAGTCGTCCGAGGTGCCACTGTCGTACACTGAGGGTCAGCAGCCGTGACGTCAGCGTCAACGTCCCGTCCTCCTACGCCCACAGGCAGATGCTAGGCCTCTTTTGCATGCAAACTTTTAACCTCATCCGCATCCGCATCGCTGTGCACCGATGCATCATACTATTCTTATGCTTTTCACATTCATATCGCACAGACTCGGCCTGGCCGAGGGTGGGGTAGAGGTTAGGGGAAGGGGGAGTGGTTGAACAAAACCCAAAAACAAAAAGAAAAAACTTTGAAAATTATGTTGTGTTTTTGTAACTTGCAATGAAAAATGGAACGAATGGAGCCAGTTTTAATGTGGTTTCACAATCATTTTGCAGGATCAAGTCTTCTACTACTACAAGCACAACAACAACAACAACTACAACAATAAGAACAACAACAACAGCTACTACTACTAGAACTTCTACTACTCCTCTTCCTTCAACAAGAACTACTACTACAACAACAACAACCACCACCACCACCAGAACAAGTTCACGTCTCACAACTACTACAGCTCCTGCTCCTCCTCAGACACACATTTCACCACCAACTCCAACAAGAACACCAACAATACCATACACCACATCCAACTGCAAACGAAAGTTGTGTGGCTTTAGTATGATATTTGCCGATTTCTGCTACTTCAACAAGTTCGATATATTCCGTTGACAGCAACAAATGACGATTACAGCAACACTAAATGCACACATGCTCCCTTCCACCACCACCACAAAAACAAAACACCACACCACACAGCTACCACTACCCCCACCACCACCCACAGGATGGGATGGGATGGGATACCTGGGTGCAGTCAGTCCAGTCCAGTCCACACCATCATCAACAACAACCAACAACTAGAGGCTATGGCTATGGCTGCAACAGCAACAGCGACAACCAAAAATCAGCACACCCACCCACCCAACCCCCCACGACATCACCAGACATCAGTCATAGTTCATTTTGTTTTCTTTTGTTTCTTCTGATTTATGTTCTGTTGCAAGCAAATCAAATATTGTTGACTGCAGCAATCAGCAAACGCGTGCAACTGTAACCACATTAAAAACAGAAGCAGCACAGCAGCAAGTGCGACAACAAGAACAGCAACAAAGCCAGCAACACTCTAACCATAACTGTTCCAGAGAATCCATCCGAATCCAAGTCAAACTCCAATTATAACTCTGTACAGAAGCACACACACACACACGCTCAAAACCAAACACAAACGAAACGAAACCCAGATACAGACACCAATTCAACCCGATCCAATCCAAGCCCCATCCCAATGCAATCGAATCCAGCAACGCTTCATTCAGGCAACTTGGTCCAACGTCAACGTTCTTAGGCCTCGACTACTTCTCTCCAGAGCTTCAAGTCGATCGAATTGTCCCCAACCTCAGCCACCATCATCACCAATCAATCAGCCAATCAACCAACCAAACAACCACCACATCATTTGTCATCTTCAGCGCAGCCTACCAGCAACAAAGGCTACAGCTACAATTACAACAGCTAATACTACTACTACTATTTACTTCTACTATTACAACAAAAATTCAACAACAACAGCAACAAGAATCAAAAGAAAACACCAACAAGATTTGAGAGCCGGCAATGGAAGTCGATCCGATCCGATCAGATCCGATACATTCCTTTGAGATTGGCTCCCCTTCCCGTTGCTGGCTCTTGTTGGTACTGGTACTGCGCCAACTCAACCTCCCAGTAATTGCACCTGTTCCTCTGCTCACCTCTGCTCAAAGCTCAAAGATCAATCAATCAAATCAATGAATGAATCCAATCCAATCAAATCGATAAGCTCTTGGGGCTGCTTGAGGCCTTCACGCTAATGCCATTGCAAAGCAACCCCTCTTCAATCGCAGCAAGTATGAAACCTTTCTTGGCCGCCAAGCAGAAGCGCAGCTTAACCCAAAACCAGCAACCACAACGACTGCAGCGAAGATGCAATGTTTGGTCTTAGAATACTCGTATTAACAGCATTAACCAAATGATCTATTCTGTATTTTGTTATTTAACTATTTTTTTTTTCTTTTTGTATAGTTTTTGTGGTACGGTTTCGGTCTCTGTTTCTGTTTCCGTTTCCTGTTCTTTTTTTTTTTTGTTTCTGTTCTTTTTTGTGTCTTGCGATAAATGTTGTTCACGCTAATGGTCTGCTCTATATATCTGTATATATGTATGTGTGTGCATGCAAAAACCCGATCAACTCAAAGCAAACCTCTTCACCCACAATGCAACAACCACCCAGGGCAACCAAGCAATCAAATCAATCAATCAAGCAAACACCAGGAGCTAGAAGGCCCTCGACTTACTCGTCGTCGTCGTCGTCTCTACTCGTCTCTGCTCGTCTCGTCTCGCCCTGCTCTGGTCTGGTCTGGTCTCGTCTCGTCTCGTATCTCCATCTCAAGCATCGCGGATGGCGGCGTCTTCAGCTCTTTGGGAGCGCACCACCACCACCACCACTACCACCACCAACCAATCATTCCTCCACAGTTGCCGCTTCTACTGATGCTGCTTCCACTACTGCTTCTCCATCCAACTCCGACCAACTTCTTCAGCTGCAGCCGGAAGGCGATAAAATAAGCAAAAAAAAAAAAAATTTTCTATATATATATATATATATATATATATGAAAAGAAAAGAACGAAAGAACAGTCATCACCAAAACCACCAAAAACAACACAAAAAAACCACCACAGTACCACCAATCCACAACCACAGACACTTAATCAATCGAAATCAGAATATCAGTATCAGAATCGTATCAACTGTCCTACAACTACAACTACAACTACAACTACAACAACAACTCAAGTACAACTCAACTAAAACTCAACAACAACAGCTACTATTACTACAACTACAACTACAACTACAGTCTTCTCAGTCTGCTCTGATCATCAACCAACCAATCAATCAGCCAACTAAGCAACCAACCAACCAATCAACCAGTCAATCAACCACCAACCAACCAACCAACCACCACCACCACCACCAACTACTTATGTAAAGTCACACCACCACCAACGCTTTCGTAACGGGGCCCAAAAGTCTGCCACAAAATCTGCCACCTCAACTCAAATCTCGACCACCTCAACCAAGCTCAAGCCAGCTCTCAGCTCTGCTCAGCTCCAATCAGCAGTCCGCTCCAATCAACTCCGCTCAGCTCAGCTCTGCCTCCGTTCAGATCAGATCAACTCAACCTCCAACTCGACCTCGACCTCAACCTCAGCTCTGCTCAGCTCAACCCACAGTCCAGCCCAGCCCGACTCTGTTCAAGTTGTGTGTGTTGTTTGATCGAGACTACATTCTCAACTATCAACTTTACCTAAATATTAAGGAATTGCTAATTATTACATTCATTTTCAGTCAGCAACAGTACAAAAACTATTAATTTTTATTTCTCTCTCTCTCTCTCTCTCTCTTTCCTCTTTCTCTTTTTCCCGCTCTTTCTATCTCCATCTATGGTGCCCCCCCTCCTCATATCCATATAATTTCAGATCAAGGTCCCCAAGAAGGTCAAGGACACGCAGTCGCAGCTTCTCAAGGGATCGTCGCAGCCGTTCCGACTCCCGGGATCGGCACTAGGAGGCGAGGGATACCGTTGCAGCAGATTAAACCTATACATATATATATAAATATATATATATATATATATATATATATATATGTATATACACATACATATATATATATACACTTACACAGGCTCACCACACCTCCTTCCCCTTTAAAAAATAAAATAAAAACACAGTCACATAGAGATAGTAGAGCGCGCTACAGTTGTGGCCGTAAAGTTATTGATTCACCAGACAGCCGCAGACAGCAGCTACGAAATTCCTTTAATCATGGAGTAATAGCCATCCCTATGTGGATGTAAGTTTAAATAATTGTAAATTTTATCAGTTTATTGGATGCCCCCCTAGGGGCGGATTAAGTAGAGTTTGATCGTAACAGTAAGACCCACAACGTAATTTCCTCCTTCCCGAACCCTACGCGCATCATGGCCAATTGGTAAGGAGGGAAGCGGTACGTACAGTACGGTACACATTGGTATATAGGAGCTGAGCACATGTTAGATTCTAATCGTCAGATCAGGTCAGCATGCAACAGCAACAAACAACAACAACAGAAACAGCACACGGAAGAAGAACAATGAACAGAACAAAAGGTAAATGCGATTTAACATTCATGGACGCATTTTATTGTTATTTTTTTGTTGTGTTGTTTATTTCAAAATCTGTCGTAACACAAAATGTCTACAAAAAAATAAAAATACAAAAAAATACTGAAAATTAAAGCGAGTTTCTATTAAACGAGGATTGGTCATTTATATCCTTAGCCATGGTTATGATCCAGAATGATTGGAAAAAAGTATCAGCCCGGTTTTGATTATGTAAGCCTAATCAAATCAGAAAGAGACGGACTCTGTTCTCCACGGAACAGAGCAGGACAGCAAGCTGTTCAGATGTATGTACATAAATGTGTAGATGCATGTACTACACTTGAAAAAGATTTAAAATTGGTCAGAAGAGTGAAACGCACAGAACTCAGACCCTATAGATATTTATATACATACATAGATACATATGTATGTCTCCATATTTATGCATATATATGTTTTTAATATATATAGGACCACTATATATCATCATAAAGCAGCCATGGTAATGATTTATGCACCCTTGGGTGTATTATATTCACCGAATTCAGTTCATCGAAAAATCGAACTTTGCTATATGCTGTAACCCATTAAGGGAAAATTGGCATCTAAATACCCATGAAAACTATAAAAATTGAAGAATTTTAGAGCCAAATTAGTGAGAGATATCGTAATACATTTTTTTTAATGTAAAGACTAGACCAAATACTTCATACAGCATAATTTTTTGTGGGTTACCTTAAAAATATCAGTTGTAAATATACAGGTTTCTTAGTAGTCCGAAAAATTTTAATCGCGCAATCTTTTTGTACAGTTTCTTTGTGCAATAGAAATATAATGAACAGCGATATTTTAACATAGATTTTAAGACTTTGTGAAAAACAGTAACATGTTTCCAAAAAAGAGCATTTTGGTATTTAAATAGCCAGGCTATATCTTAGGTGCTTGCACAGGTGCTACTATTGTCTCCAAAGCAAACATCAAAATTTCATCAAAACCGCACGAGCCGTTTAGGAGCGGTCTATAATGGGTTAACGCTATTAAACTCTTTAAGCTGGCTGCTGTCGAACCATTAAAGCTGGCTGCTATACAACTATTAAAGATGGTGTCTATAGAACTATTAAGGCTAGATGCTATGAACACACAAGCCCGTCAGGCTGTAGGAAAAAAACTATTAAAAAACATTGATATGCAATTGTAAACCCAAAATGAACTTATGTATCGATTTCGCAGTGATGCGGCGAAGGTGAATATCGAATATAATCGATAATACCCTCGATTGAAATTTCGTGATTTATACAAAATGTACCTGCAGAAATTTCTAAAATGAATAAAAGATTTTATTTTATTCAAAATTATATTCAAATTTCCGTATGCTTTCGAATAAAAATATCGGATATGACCGATTATATTTAAACAGTTGGTCCGTCCTATCACTTGGCGCAAAGTTGTCATCCAATAAATTAAAATCATCCTCTTTCAGTTCCAGTAAAGTTCCCAGAAAAGGTTTAACAATAGTAATGTTTATATATTTCATAGTTTCATGTTTTGGTTTTCTTGTCTTTTAACGAATAGTAATGACTTTTAAGGACATGTACATAATGTGCATTCGTGATCGAATCGGGGGATAAACACATACGTATATGAACGAGTATGCACGTATAGGATAAATATATGATAAACAACTTTTCTATAGAACAATATCCGGATGCTTCTCCGCTCGGCCAACGAAAGTAATAAAAAACTTTTTGGCTCCAACAAAATTATTGTCACTCCCCTCAAACCACTTGGATTTGTTTCCATTCCACGATCAAGGATCGGCGCACTTGTCTTTTCTATAAACGAACGATTGGCTACAGCAAATTCAACACTTTAGTTAACGACTACTTAAAATGGTGAAAACAGCGATGCCGAAACCTGAACAAGATCCAAGGATAGAACAGAGTAAATCGTTATGGAAGGGAAGTCTGTAGAGTATAGAGTATTACTAGATATAGCATCTATCAGAGACCTGAATGAATCCACAGTAAACATCTTTCTTTTCCTTTGAGGCTAAAACGTATTACAATATTCTGATAATATACGAGTAATATATACGAGTATGTATGTGTAAAAAGGCAGTGCAACTGCTCCTACATTATTTAAATATATCGCAAGAATCAATGAACCAAAGAATCAATCTGAAGAAACATTTTGTTTGAAAATAAAAAGTTTCACTTTCTGTGGATTCATGCAGTTCCGCAGTACAGACATATCATATCGTATGTATGTACATATTTCACACGTTTATATATTTGATATATAAAATACAAAATAATGAAGAGCAGAGACACAGTAGAAGTCTATGGCAAATAATAAGCAATTATAATAGTAACAAAAAACAAAAAAAAACTAGATAATCCTTAGCGTGGGGGGATCAGACACTCTTAACACAGGCAGGCGGCAGGAGGAGGAGGAGGAGGAGGAAGGATCTAGGGAAGGGCTACAAGCAGTGTGTCCATCTCCATCTCCATCTACTTGTACTTCTTCATGAAATCAGCGTGGAATACACGGAACTTCTCCATCATCAGTTTCAGCTTGTCCGTCTGCGGCAGGATCGTGCTGCGGAAGTGATAGGTGCCGGGCTTTTGCCCGAATCCGCTGCCAGGAACGATGCAAATGCCTATAAAAGAGGGAAAGAAATTAGATAAGCTCGGATCCCAATCGATGCGATGCCATCATCAGTAGTGCACCACTCACCGCTCGTCTCGAGGAGCTCGAATGCGTAGAAAACATCGGGAGCCATGCCCTTGGCCTTGGCTGCTTCGATCGCTTTGGGTGGGATCTCGATCTGGGGAAACACGTACATTGCCCCCTGGACGGGATTCACCTTGTAGCCCTCGAAACTACTGAGAGTCTTGTGGACGAGCTCTGCGCGCTCCTTGAGGGCCGCCAGGGTGGCGTTCTTCTCTTTTTGGAATAGGTCGTACGAGGGCTCGCCGGGCTTAGGTGGATTGACCAGAGCACTGACGGCCACCTGACCGGCGGTGGTGCTGCAGAGGGCAGCCGTAATCGACTTGGTAAGCATGGCCTTGACCTGGGGGCATAGGTTGACCACCTCCATGTATCCGCCACGAATGCCGCACTCGCCGAGGAAACCCTTCGATGTGGAAAGGAAGCTGACCAGCTCTTGGCTGCGGTAGGGCTCACCCATCTCGTAGGCGACCTTCTTGAACGAGTAGAACTTGGAGTTTTTGTCGTAAACGTTGTCCTGGTACACCTCATCGGCCAGCAGTATCAGCCCGTTATCATTGGCAAACTTGATGATCTCGACAATGTTATCGCGGGTCAACACCTGACCGGTGGGATTGCCCGGATTGATGACGACCAGAGCGCGTGGATTGCACGTCTTCTTGGCCTCATCGAAGGAGCGCTGCAGCTCCTTGCGGCTCAGACTCCAGCCGGAATCCTCCTCTAAATAGTAGTCCACCTTGTCCATGCCATACTCGGCAATGGTGGCAGAGTACAGTGGATACTGAGGAATGGGCACCATCACGCCAGGTGGCTTGCCTCCCACCTCAGCGCTGCAACGCAAGTAAGAGGTTTGATTGGAAAAGGTTTTGCCTGGAATGTGGCACCACTTACTGGATCAGCGAGAGAATGCTCTTGATACCGGGCGAGGCACCGCCTGTCAGATAGACATTCTGCCAATCGCTGGGCACTCCGCCGTCGCGCTTCTCAATATAGTCGACCACCTGGCGACGCACCACCTCCAGTCCAGCCGAGTCCGTGTACGAGCCCACGGAGTGACCCTGGCAGTTGGCAAGAATGGCGCGGGCCCGTTTCTTCACATCCTCGGGATAATCGGGCGAGTCCAGCAGTCGGGGCTCGAATGTCAAGGCCAGCAACTGTAGCGAGGAATGAACAGATAACCAACCATATTAAGGACTGGATGCCTGGGAAAGTTTTCTCCGAGTCTGATCCTCACCTGACGCAGAAACGTCACCGGCTGCTGTCCCATGGCATGGCAATCACCGATATTGGCCCGAATCACCTGGTCGAACGGCTTCTTTGCACCCTGCAATCAAATTCAATCAAACGAAAGGGAAATTATACGTATTATGGTATTATTGTTTGCTGAGTGAATGAATGTTGGATCAGCCCGAGCCACAGCCCGTGCACGAGGCGTATCAAATGAGCTTTTAATTTGTGCTCTCTTCGCCATGCAAATTACGTTCAATTGGTGGACAGACACACACAATCACAATCCAAATTGGCTCACCCCGTAATTGCAGATGATTTGTGTTTATTCATTGATTATTTATGATACGATTCCCCCCATCCATGGAACTGCAATGCGTTTCTAATTAACGTTTCATCGAGTGCCTGGGACTAATCGGTATACGATATCAAATTATCGTGTGAAGAGTGGAGTGCCTTTTGCAGATAATTATCAGCGGATACAATAATCGCATTATTAAATAACCTTGAAATGAAAGCAAAGCTTGTTCTCTTTTGGATTCCCATCAAGTCTTATCTATGTACATAAAATGTTTATATATACATATATCTTTAACCTGTTACTTAATAGCGACATATGACAACGCTTCTGTTGGTTCTGCCCTGACACACAGGGTGGAATAATTTGCCAAGACATTGTCAACAATCTAACACACAATTTGCAGGGCATTTGCCGGGGCCTGCATTCATTATATTTATATGCATGTAGATGGCGGCTTGGGTTGCTTCACTCCGCTCGAATGGACAATTTACCACACAATTGCTGGGAAGGGGCTTTCAAATGAGTGACCCAGTAATGGATATGTAAAATGATGGCCAGGGGGGGGGGGGGGGGGGGGGGGGGGGGGGGGCATTGTGGGGCTGCAAGTGAGCGTTGACGTCATCCAGCAGTACATGTCAGTGTAAATATTGAATAATTGAGGAATTCGCAGCACATCACGACGACCCACAACAAGTTCCCCATGAAGGGAATGCTCTGGCTCTGGCTCTGGCTCTGGCTCTGGCTATATATTTTCTAAATTCCTCACCGTAAACACTCGCCCAGTGTAAACGTACGCTCGTGTGGAGATCTCTGCCTCTCCTTATCGAACCTTATTTTTGTTTTCAATTTCGTTAAATTGCTGATAAAGGTGTTGCCAAGTAGCCAGAGTTCAATATAGGTAGATGGCTCGAATACGTTGGGGATGTGTATGTGTCCACGACTGTCGTGCGATTCCAATGGCGTCACAAATGAGGGGGATTTTAGAAATAAAAGTTTGTTTATAGCTAGAGTTGCAGTGCGTCTACCATATCAATATAAATATTAGAGTAAAGTGCATATACATTATATATTTGGTGTACATACTAAATAATGTGCTGTCTCTCATTGTAAATGTTCTGCTGCCTCTCTAAAACCTATAGGATTTGGTGTGTAATTGCACGTAGCACAGTCTCCCCACCTGCGGCCTCTCTCCACTCTCGAGTTTCAGGCGTATTCCATCAATCAATTTGCACTAGTTTGTTGGGTTTTAAGTGGCTGCTATATAATTGATAAGTATTATGTGCTGTCGTATATAGCAGGTATATTGTATATGGCGTAAGGCAGAGTCATATAATCGTACAGGCTATTGCGATCGGCGATCTTATCGCATCGCACCGAGCCATAACAATAATAATATGTAATAACAATTAGCCAAATGTCAAATGGAAGTGAAAGCAAGTACGATACGAACGATAGCCGATAATCCGACATTCCGAATGTGGGATACCTAAAACACCTGAAGTCGCGAAAAAGTCAAGACAGCTACAATGTACATATGTACATACCCTTGTGCCCTATTCGGCACAGGGTATTATGACCTTGACAGAGGGAATAGGGAATGGGGAGACTCCCCCCATCCGTCACATAATCCACTCAATGCACTCAAGACGCATAGCAGAATACAAACTGACAAAATGATAAGAATGTCGGCTATTACCATCTCCTCCCCTGGGCCATGCCGCCGCATGGTTTTGGCAAGTGGCCAAAGCGTTCTGCTTCATCCTGCAGCAGGCCGAAAGGAATTTGATAGAAGCACAAAGAACAAAAAACAAGGCGAATCGAAGCAGATCAGTTAGGCGGCGTATAAGGAAATCAATCGCAACGTGGGCGGAGCGGGGGGAACGGGAACGTGAACAAGCTGTCAGCGACATTAAAATACAAATTCTGAAAAGTCAGCGCGGGGCAAACAATGGATCTTATAGTACATAAGCGTATAAGTGTGCATATACATACATACAAATGTATGCATATGTACATACATATGTTGTGGGTCAATGTGCGCCGTCGCTTGGGCATATTTCGAAGAGAATTTTGCTTAAAGTATCCAAAACAAACGGTACAAGTTTACAAAGAGAAGGGAATAGCATAATGGGTGGGGAGGCATGAAGCACACACACACTGTCAAAGCTTATGCGCATGTTTTGTCTCTGTTTTGATATTTCTTGCTCTTTTCGCACTGATAACAGCATCGCAGCCCTTCCCCGCCTACGCACACTCTTAGCTTGTTATGTAAGCACAAGCTAAGGGAGTTGAAGGCCGTTCTATTGAGCCTGCACTTAATTGAAAGCGGCACAATGGGTATAGCAATAATTAAAAACTTCCCATACATGCATACGGACGTACATACACATGTAACACAAAATCCACAGAAACGCGACTTGAAAGCAAAAGCGGGGATTAGGCAAGCTCTTCATCGTCAATCATTCACACGTACTACATAGCACATACGTTTAGATATAAAACGATATATCTTATTCTCCGAGTCTCCTTATGCCACTCCAAAGTTCATTCTAATTTTGGTACTACTTTTATCACCCATAAAAGCATACCTCTTTGAGATAAAGAACATTTAGTTACGACTTTATCAATTTGGTGCTTACTTTTGAGGGGCCTCCAAGCGAAAAAGTCACATCCTCTTTTCCAATTTCGACAAATGAACGAACCCCCACCTCTAACAGGTGGGCGCAATGCAGACAGTTGCTCGTGAATGATTCGGTAGCGAATTCCCGCCCACTAAAGCGTAACGAAAAGGGCGGCAAAGCGAACAAACGCAAACGCACTAATACACTAACACTTTGGATAGACAATAAATGCGGGCTTTTGACGGCCATTAAATTGGAAGACACGGCGCGGCGCGGTGCGGTGCGGTGCGGTGCGGTGCGGTGCGGCGCGGCGCATTTAACGTGGTGGTGTTCAATTACTATATACACGCTTGCCCCAGGCGCCTAGCTCACTCACCTTTTCAAGCTCCTTTTCGATTTCGCCGGCTCGTATCACCAGAGGTCCACGCACAGCATACTCCATGGTGATGAAGTTCGGATTGATGTTCTCCAGTTGCAGACATTTCGCTGGCATCTTGGTGCTGGTTGAGAACGAACTATGGAGCGGAAGGTGGAGGAGTTCTCACTTTCGTTATTAAAATGTATTTCACTTCTCAGACACGGCCCAAACAACAAGAGGGACAACTAACCGACGGGCGTCAAACGGTGAATGTCTACCCCCAAAAGCTTCGGATTGAATGCGGCTGCGATGCGACGTCGCTGTCGTTGTAGTCATGCTTGCTGCTGCTGCTGCCGCTGCCGCTGGCTCTGCCGACGCTGCTGTTGTGGATTTTTGAACGCTATGTATAAACGATTTCCAGCGTCGAATGACGACACTGGGCGTCAATTTTGATTGTTGCTGCTGCTGGGGATAGGGCTGGCGAAGTGGCAAGGCGGCGGCGGCCCTGCCAGACATTGTGGCTGCCGCACGTTGCATGGCGCTGGGTTTGTTAATTAACAGACGGCTCATTCTATTCTCTGAAATTATTCGAAAATGTTATGTTGAATATATATCGATATATCGATGTATTGATATACATATATTTTTTTGTTTTTGTTTTTGTTCTTTCTTAAATACGGTTTGAGGTTTTCTCGGCACATGCAAAAGTGCTGACTGTGGAAGGGTGTGTATGTATAAGAGTATAACACACTCGCATAAATTATAAGAGTCGGCATTCCGGCTCTCTCTCTCTCTCTCTGTGCTATCGGCAGAAGCTGCCCAATAAAATTGTATGCTTATCAATATAAAATAAGTAGATTATATATTTATTGGCCTCTCTTTATTGGTGCCTTTGTTTGCCAAGTCCGTAGTTTATATAATTCAGAGATACAAATTACACGCTTATTACAACTTCCGTTAACAGTTCAGTTAAATTTGCCGCTCTTCGGCAGTGACGCGCTGGCAGTGCGTATGCACATTTAGCGGAGACGCGAACCCCAACTGACAGCTGCATTCGGGCGCGTAATTTTACAACTGATATTCAAATTTGAATCATTTTCTTATCACACTGTTACAATCGTAAAGCCCATTATCGCTGTGGAAGTTTTTAGTTGTTCAGAGGCACCACTTTATTTTGGATTTTGTTTGAATAGGAATTACGTACGAATAGGATTTATGGTATACACGCTTTAATTCAGACGATATTTCGCGTGCTACTATACTCGCACGATCCCCTATCAGTAGCCTGTACTTTTGACTTTGAGCCAGAGCGGGGGACTCTTATCAGTGACGTCCCTAGGCCGAGCTTGTTCATATACCGATTTCCACAGATCCATAAATGTGGCAAAGTTCTTCACATCTCAGAATTTTTGCACTTTGAAACGGCAGTTACGTAATGCAAGCTGGCAAAAAACAAGCAAAAACCAAAGGCAAAGACAAAGAATCATTAAAAACATGACAATGGCCAGATATCGCACGGTATACGGCTGAATATTGGTGTGGATGTTTTCAAAATGTGGCACAACTGATGCGCACTCAAATCAAGCGTCAATCAGCCATCCCACAAAATGTTTGCTTTCGTATTAGCGATTATATATCTGTATATGGCACAAAACATATGTGTTTTCTTTACATATATGTATGTATATACACGTACCTCTTGCGGGAGGGGTGTTGTTGTTTTCTTTAGGAACAAGCCAGTCGAAGCCGGCTGAACCTTAGAACTTGTTTCGGCGAAGATTTGTTTTTTGAGGAGCGGAACGCACTTGAAACCGGTTAGGGATTGATGGGCGCACAGCAGAGCCAAAAATAGTGTATATATGTATGTTTCTTTAATGTGAAATGCAAATTTATATATATCACCAGCCATAGGGGACGATACTGGCAATGCGAACCCAGAGAAAGCTCCCAAAACGATTGCCTGGAACAGGAACACAGCAGAAGGATCATTCCAAGTGTCAGTCAGAGTGGAAACAGCTGAAATATGGGACATTTTTCCAAGAAAAACAGTGGGGGCTGGGCTCCGATATAGTGAAAACTAGTAAGGGATAGCAACAGATTCAGAGCTGAACCAAAACAGAGAGGCCTGGTTAAATATAATTGTAGATAGTATCGAAATAATATATATATAATCTATCATTTTACATATGTATGAAAGACACATGAAGACACCCAAAGGGAGGGTTGGAAATAATGGGGATTATCTGGAATCCATTATATGCCATTTGGAAAACCATGAATTTGATTAAATCTGTAAGAAGTATATATTTAAAAGAACAAAAATTTCAATGTCTGATTTTGTAAAGAAAAGCCAACAAAAGCTAACAATTTTCCGTTTCAAAGAAGGGATTTTCGGTCTGGAAGGGGTCTAGATCTTTCTTTCCTCTTGCAGATTGATTTGTTTTGGGTCGCTCGGCACACACATTCTTATGCAATGGTGTTCCAAAATATTTGTGGACTTTGATGCAGCCACATGCCACAGTGCCACCACACCCACACCCTAACAATCTCTGGGAATTTAGAGGGTTTAGAGCGTATATGTACATATATCAAAACTGGATAAGATAGGGATGATAACAATTGAAACTAATCCGCGGCGAGAGTGGAGAGTGGAGAGAGGAGAGAGGAGAGGACGTGGCAGCTGGCACTTTGATTGAAATGTCAGAACAGGAGGTGGGGAAAATGGAAGTGGCAATGGCAGGGTCGGAGCATCGCTAATTACATGCTAAACAGCTGCTAACGCCTTACGCACACGCACACAAACACACACACATGCTCAAGCAAAGCAAGACACAAATCTCTACTGAGCAACAATTGTCGGCTTTTCACAATGTCGCGCATGGTGGAATAACATGGGGTGAGGCATATTGCAGGTCTTCAAGTCACATAGCATACATATGTATTTAAATCTCCCTTTCGTTCCGCTCCCCGTCTGTTCCCTCGGGCACTGGAAAATAATAACAAAACGCGGCACCCGGAGATTGCCACTTCACCTGACATTTGACACACTTTGGTAAACGTGCACGCAAATCAATTAAGGGCGTCACGCAAAACGATAAACGGTGTACGGTGTGCGGTGAACCGTTGTTAGGCAGTAAACAAAACCACAGTTAGGCGGAAATTGGCGATAATTGAACGTGCCACACACAAATCACTTTCACTAAACAGCGTCGCACTGTGAGGTGGATAATTGGGAGCGGCGGGGGGTGGGTGGCTCGATTTTTGGCCCAATAAGAATGTTGTCGCCTGTATGTGTCCGTGTGTGTGTGTATGTAGTTCAAGAGCAGAGCGTCCGTCAGCCTCCAAGTTGGCAGAGCTCGATCGATTTTTCTTTGCCGAATGCAACACCATTCCTCCTCGTCTCGGATGTTGCAACTCACCTTGAAGATGGGGCTAGTTTGGGGGGTTTATTGTCTTCCCTCCCGATTATCTAATGATCCCAAATGCTGCGGATGCGAACCGCGGACTGCTCTGGTGAGACGGACACACAAGATTGACCCTCAAAAATCAAGAGAGAAACGCTCGCATGCACACAACCAATGTGGAAAACTTAAACTTATTAATAAACTTATCTACACCATCCCTATATGTGCAATATATGTATATACATGTACATAATAAATATTAGGTTTGGTTGTGTGCGTGTCGTACCTGGCGCGCGCTCGCGTATATATGGGTGTGTTTATGGTCGGTAGAATGTGTTCCAATAAGAAAATCAAAGCTTGGCCCGTTCTGCCTCTCGCTACAATTCCGCTGTAGCAACTGCGGCGGCGGTAATGGCAATCGCTTGCTCGACAAATTCTTCGACAACAGCGTGTACAGTTGTTGTTTTTGTTATTGCTGTGTTTGCTTTTGTTGCATTTATCAATATAACGGCATTGGCCGTCCGTGCGAAAAATGGTGCGCCAAGCGATAAATTTGTATTGGCCACAGTGCGACCGCGGAACATATATACGGTCTTACCCTCAGAAATATACCGAAACTACGTCACAAATTTCAAAATATACCGCAAATATACTGACGAACTATTTGTATTCTAGTTCGATTAGATTCCATCGTTTTTGATATTCGGTTGAATGTTACCAGCTAGCCAAGACCCTCAGCTCTGAGCTCATAGTTTTATCCGCTTATTAAATCAATTTCCTACAAGACTGGTTAAATTTTAGTTTTCTTCTTTATAGCATTGCGAATAAAATAAGGTTTAAGCAAAACCTGTAAACAACAATTTCGACTAAATTAATTTTCTTACATGGCAACTACACGCTACCTACACATATGCTACATATTAACTACATTTTAATGTAATTAGCACTTGATGGTGAATTAACTGAATGCTTAACCTGAAGGAAATACAATGAAAAGTATCAAATTTGCAAGTTTTGTGAGCTTGAAATGGTGGCAAGAAATCAGAAAACCCGATAAATACGGTCGGACCCTCAGAAATATACCGAAATAAACCGTTTCATTTTAAAAATATACCGTAAATATTATGACGAATCCAAGTTCTATTATACATATTCCTCGTTTTTGATATTCCGGCGAATTTTACTGGGGATATTGATCTTTCAGCACTGCCCATATAAGTTTATACGATAAATTTACCTATTTTCTAAAAAAAAGGTTTTAGCGAAAAAGGTCAATCAAAAAAAAACGTAAGCAAATAATCGTTCCTATTTTTCAATTTTGATATTGCGTTGGCTTTCCTAAACCCTCAGCCCTGCCCACATAGTTGTATCCCATTGATGAATAAATTTTATGCAAGACTAACTACTTTTAAATACTCCCATTTATTGTATTTTGACTAAAACACGGTTTAAGCATAAGGGGTCAACAAATAGTCGCAATGTTGTTATGTCAATGCTGCTGGTAATGAAGATTTGTGCTTATCAACCGGAGTATGGGCATTTTTTGTATACCCTTTTTCTTTAATTTAAAAGTAAGATATTTTATAAAGAAATTTTCTCAAATTGATTTGTTTTAGACGTATTCATGCATTTGATTACCTTCAAAATATCGCTGAAATATCTTTTAAACAGAGACTGACTAGTTTCTGCATTAACTAGAGTCTGGGATGACAAACTTTCCCGCAATTCTCTAATATCCATTTCCCTAGGGTAAGCAGAATGTTGCCCATGTTGCGGGACACTCTGCTCGTTTTCACGGCACTTAAAGCTAGCCCATAAAAATTAATGCCGCAACTTTTGTGCATGGAATGATACTCATTGTTTCTACCGACTCATACACGATTCAAAAAGAGCAAGAAAGAGATCCTTAACCGATTTGAAGAGAGAAAAAGAGCCGAGTGGTACGCGCCATATAGAAATTGCTTGAAAGTGAATGAGCGAAACGGATTTAAATGCAATCCAGTGGAATAAATGATGCAGGGCAGCACGAATTTCGATGTTAAAATGTACAGAAAAGTATCATATTTCAAAGTTTCGCGGGCATACTCCCAAGCAGCTTTGACGAGTGGCGAGTGGACAGTGCTGGTAAGTTTGCAAGTTTGCCAGCACCAAAAATGGGGCGCGTAGATTCAATTCGTTGGTTGGTTTTATTTCCTAAGAAACTTAGTTATAATCAAAAAAAAGTACTTCTTAACTATTAAATATGTACAAAGGACGCCTGGCTTTAAGAATTAGCTACGTGCTAATGCCCATTATTGACTCAATTGAAAAGCTCAGCTTAGGCTTCTTCGCCGAGGCGTGTGCGGGCGGCATGGGCGTTGTCGTGACGGCGGCTGCGATGGTGTTGGAGGCTGTGAATGGCGGCGGCCCCGATTGATGCATGGCAGCAGCAGCAGCAGCAGCGGCAGCGGCATAGAGGGCGTTACCGCCCAGCGTCGCCTCCATGGCGTAGTTGAGTTCCGGATCAGCGAACGCGCGTCGCTTGCGCATTCGCTCCATCAGCGGAGAACTGAACGTGGGAAACCTTTGCTTGTACTCTAGAAAGAGACAAATAAGAAGCGAAGCCGAATAAGTAACGGTGCAATGGGGCGTTATCAGTGACGGACGGAGTACAAATTGCCGTAATTCGTTCAGCCGCCCGGATTCTATTGGGTCGGGGTTTTTTTTGGGTAATTTGAGCGGCCCTCGGCCCAGACACACTGCCCAGACAGCCTGGCACCGAATCGGGAGACTGGAGACTGCAGTTACTCGGAAACCAGATGGTGGTGGACTGCAGGACGGAATAACAGTACGGTACGGTACGAAGTGAAGTCATTTGTTGGTGTTGCCACATTGTGTTTTTGTCTCAAGAGGTTTTTCCGTTTTGGTCGCGTATCCACTTACAGAATGTGACTTTTTCGGACGGACAGCTCAAGTGATTGAAAATGTGCGTACGCGTACACACTTCGGGGCATCCAATTTCCAATTTCCAATTTCCATTGTTTCTTTTCTCGAGTTTTAATAACTTGCTCTTGCTGTTGTCATTGCCATTGTTGTTGTTGCAGGGAATCAGTCATTTCCTGTGCCCCGACAGACAGGAGAGGATCTCCAATTACTCGTCGCCGAGCCAGACAGTCTGGCACCGCATGGCACCGATGGCCGATGGCCGATGGGCAAGTGGATGGGATGGGTGAAATGGGGTGGGGTGGGGAGTGGAGGGGAGGGGTTCGATCGTACGGGGATCTCTTACTAACCTTCCATGGCTGCTGTTATGTGCAACGTGGACTGTTGCAGGTTGCGCAGTCGCTGCTTGTAGATCCTTTTCTGGGTAATCAGTGCCTGGCGCGTGGCTGACGAGGAAGTGGATGTGGAGGATGTGGAGGATGTGGAGGCTGCTGCTGAAGGTAGCGCTCGTACAGGTGGTGGCGACGTTGAAGCTAAGGAATCCTCGCCCTCGCTGCTGGATGCGGTGGCTGGATGCGAATGCTGGACCTGGGCGGACGCCTCCAGGGCCTCCATTGTCTGCTGGCGGCGCAGGGCCACCTGGGCGGCCATCACCCGCTGGCGATCGACGACCAGCTGGCAGTTGGGGCAGCAGCACTCGCGCCAGCGGCACAGCTTCTTGTGGCCCTTGACGCACGAGATGACGCCGTGGTTGCGGCAGCGGGCGCACTTGGGTGTGCGCAGGAGGCGGCGTTCCTTCAGCGATATCTGGCTCATCCTTGCTACCACGGTCGCGGCTAACGATCGACTGAAAGGATCGCGGCAGAGTGGCGAACATTTAAACCCAATCCAAAGCAAACGCAAACGCAAACGCATACGATGACAGCGACCGCAACTACTTGACTACCAGATCCGACTCCTCCGTGGCAGACAGACTGTCTGGCAGTCTGCTCGGGCTGGCTGCTCCGGCAGCGTCAAGTGGTCTGGTCTAGTCTGGTCTGCCCTGCCTGGCCTGCCCGGCCTGCCATTGGCTGCTAATCGCTGCCCCTAAAAATAGACGCTCCAATGGCGGCCCAGATGTCTCGCATCAGCATCAGCATCCGCATCAGCATCAGCATCAGTATTGTATCTTTATCTGTAGTCGGCACATCTGTGTTTGGACAAAGGCGATCATCAAATTGCATATTGATTTGCTTTCCACAAATATCTTTAGATTGCTACAAGTCGATACGACCACGGATACGAGTGCGAGTACGAGTATATTTGATTCAATTGTGGTTTATTTGTATAACAATTTGTAGCATTCATTAGCTTATATAGTTGCCCCTATACATATGTATATATAATCGGTCTATATAAATACAAATTCAACACGATTTCAACTAGTTTTGTAACATTAGTTTAGTTTAAGCAATCAATCAAATCAAAAATTATAAAAAAAAAACAAACAAAAAAAAATTCTTTATATTTACTTTTGTGTACTTCGCTGATTCGGATTCTTCAGTTGATTACGAGTATATATGTTTATTGGACTTGCCCTTCCCATAATGGTATATATGCATACAGTGCGTTTCACATCTATAACGGCATGATTTTAATGGAATTTGTTTCTCAGATTGGATTGTCGAATTCTATCACTCAAAGAATGATAAATATACTATCGAATACATATGGAAAAAGCTCGAAAGGATTATCGGAATTGAGCTATGGTGTAATTCGATTAATTTACAATTTACAATAAATTGTAATCAATAATTGTCTGAATAATTGTCCGACTTACAGTCTCATAGTCAGGAAACGCACTGTTCTGCTCTGCTCTGCTCTGCTCTTTCGGTATGTATGTATTGTATACGTATGTATATTATACGTGTGATTTAAAAAATGATTTATGTAAGAAGAGTTTTAAAGCTTCAGCTAGTCTAAGAAGTGTGCCAGGTTCTCGATTGGTTGGTCGGTTAAAGGGGAATCGACTGGAAAAGGATGCTCTGGGGATGCACATGCTTTTCCACATAATTTAATAGAGGAAAAGGGATCGCAAGGACTTTGATTATTGTTTGATAATGACGCGATATAAATACATGTAATTATAAATGCTTGCAAAGTTATTGTCCTTTACCGTTCTAAAAACTCGATTCTAAATGGAAATCCGTACATGTTGTGTGTCTGGTTATGTAAGACTAAATGTAGATCCCCTGACTGTACTGTTTCAACTAAAGTCAAAACTAATTGCAGAACTAATTGCAGAAAATGCAAATCACATAAGAAATCTTGCTCCCTTTAACGACTACAAATATCTAGCATAATAATACTCGTACATTTCGTTTGGTTATGGATTGCTATAATCGTAAATACATGCATACTTTGGTTTGGTTTGGTTTGTTTCTCTATGGAATCCATTTCGTATCATATCATCATATTATATCACAATGCTTAAGGGGTTTAACGCTTCTCGATTGAGTTTCAAATTCAACAACGATTGATTGCCAAGTGACGATCTATCTATAGAGTTGTACGAGTAATATATAGGTATGGGTGTATGTATATAACAGGCTCACAGGTCGCTTGGCTAGCTCATACAGCCCACGGAGATAATCATACATATTTTGCTGTCATTGTTCTGTAACGTCACTCCTTGCCAACTCACTCTGTCTTCGGTTTAAGGGATTACAAATCTCTGAGTATATTTTCAGAATCGGGCAATGGCGAAAATATTTTACATATTAGAGCCCCACAGTATTCATAAAATCACAGCTAAGTATACTCAGGCCTCTTCAATGCTTTCGATAAGGAAATTTGTGTGGTGTTTGTGTTTTCTCGTTCTCTCTACCACAAAATCAAATGGCAAGTGAGCGAGAAAAAAAAAACGGAAATTAAAATTAAACGATTCATGCTTCGTTCAGTTCGATTTAAGCGAGTGTTTAGATGGAATGATCAAGCTGACGCCGAATTCTGTTCATGCAGGACTCCAATATATACTTATGTCAATGGATCATCAATGGAATACACAACCATCCAGATATATGTATATATGTATAATTACTTCCCCGGCTGTATGCGACGATGAACGCAAATCTCAACAAGTGCGGGAACTCTCTGACTCTGACTCTAGTCTGGTATATCAAAATGCATACATATGTATAATAAATCTTACATTCGATAACAGTTAGTGCGCGACAATGTTAATAGAACTAGTTAATAGGCTCGTTTGTCCTTTGGTGCGGGTTTAGGTTCTCGATTAGATTATCTCTATTAATACTTTGAGTATATTTGTTTCTAGTCCTATGCTAAGACCCTCCTAAGACTGGACTTGGGGATACGCGTGTACATAGGTAGGGGAAAGCAGTAGAAAAGTAAGAAAGTTTCATAGCTAGGATTTAGTAAATGCAATTTAGAGGAGGGTTCCATCCATCCATCCATCCATCCATCCCAGACGGCACTCTGTCTCTCTCTCTCTTTCTGTTTGCATATCAAAGGGTTCACCAAACAACGGAGTAGGAGTTGGAGTGGGATTGGGAGAAGGGTTTTCCAACTAAATACGCTAAATTTAATGCCTCAGCGCACATCAGCGGTGGAGCGAGAAATCTATCCCATACGATCCCATACGATCCGATCCGATCAGAGGCACCGCACCGGCCTTAAACGATGCTGTTCCGCTTGGCGCTGGCCCGTTGCAGAGTGCTCTGCATGGCGGCGACCACAGCCTCGGCGCCGCCCGTGAAAATCGGCTGATTGACGGCCCGACGGAGGACATGCCACATGGCAACAGGTTTGCGCAGCGAGGAGAGCATCTGATGCCAGTGCCGCAGTCCCTTGCCCACCGCACAGCTGCCGGCAATGACATGGCCCAGCGGCAGAATACCGCCTTCGGTGGTCACGCCGAACACGGTGAGCCTCAATTGGGCCGTCGTCAGGCTCTGGGGTGGCACACTGAAGATCATTGACTCGTTAAAGATGGGGCACCGATCCTTGCGCTTCAGCGAGGTGCGCTTCTTCAGCACCTTCTTCTCGTTGTTCATCAGGTAAACCTGAGACCAGAAAGGGTTGCATTAAGGGCTCACTAAGCAATGATCATCCATACCTTCACGAACACATTCTGCACGATGTCCGCGCTGGGCTGTTCCACATCCAGCTTCAGGTTGCGCGCCTTCACTACCACAATGGTCAGCCGCTCCGCCGTCGGCAGGTAGCTCAGCGAGAACATCAGCTCTCCCCAGCGGGCGTTGCACTTTCGCGAGTCCGACAGTGGTATCCAGGTGGTGATGGGCCGTGGCAGCTCCCCGATCTCCATCTCCGCCTCCCCAATCAGCGTGTGGGCGGGCCCGTTGTGGTACAGATGGAACCAGAGCGAGTGCCGCACCTGTTTCTTCTGCAGCCAGAAGTTGAAGCTCTCGTTGTAGCTGGGCGTCAGCGTCGAGTCGACCACCTGAATGGTTGGCAAAGCGGAAGTTGCAATGGGAGTAAGTGTCAGTGTACTCGAAAAGTCTAGGAATAAAATAGCTTTGTTTGTAACACCCAGAAGGAAGCGTTTACGACCCCATGAAGTATATATATTCTTGATCAGCATCCATAGCCGAGTCAATATAGTCATGTCTGTCTGCCCGTCTGCCCGTCTGTCCGTCTGGGTTGCATATAAGCTCATTTTTGTGATGATTCATGTTACTTCAAGAGAAGGAAAAAGACTAGAACCAAAGAGCTTTCAGCTATCGTAAGGTGGCTCTAAACAAGTAACTCTACATACATAAAATGTACTCACTTTGGTCTGCATGGCGCCAGGGTGATCGGGCACCAGATAGATCCGCACAAACGTATCCAACGACTCAACACTAAAGGGACAAATGAGTCCCTTGGCCTCCAGCACACTCACAGTCAGCTCCATGCCCACGCTGCTGATGCTGCTTCTGCAGGCAAAAAGAGAATGAGTTCCAGTTGGGAATTGGGGAATCTTGCCTACTTGTCATAGTGCAGGCCAATGCAAAGATATCCAGTGATCTGGGTGTAGGGCTGATCCAGCTGGTCCAGGAAGAGGGTGGAGTCCGAGTTGACCGAGTCGCAGGAGATGGCCCGCTCCAGGTTGATGCCCTCAAGGGATCCCGATGCGGAGCTCGCGTCCAGCGACATCTGCGAGCTGTTGCGCCTGCCCAGGCCCAGGCTGAGTGTCGAGTCCTGTCGCATCAGAGAGCGGCCAAAGCTCCAAGTGCCATTTCCGTTCCCGTTGGCCTGGCTATGGCCATTGACGTGAGGCCCGTTCTTGCCCAGCTTGCGGAAGAGATAGTCCTCAGAGATGGTTTTCTGCAGCATGTGGGGGCCCTTGACGCGCTGCCCCAGACCCGTAAATGGATTCGTTGTGTTGTGGAACTTGAGCAGCCGACTGGAGAGGCTCTGCGACTCCACGAAGGGATTCCCATTGTGCTGGGGCTGCGTAATGGCTGGTGTAGCTGCAGCGGGAGTTGGGGCTGGACTAGTGGTAGGTGCTTGAGCTTCAGTTGCGCCTGGCTGCACGTGCTCAATCGACTCGCAGAGGAAGGGATTTGTGCTGGAGTTGCGGCGCTTTAACGCCGGCGTGCGCCTCTCCACGCCGACTTGCACCTGGGGCTCCACTTGATTCGCCGGCGCCATCTCACCGCTCCGGTTGATGCCCTGCTGTAGGGACACCTGCCGCTTCGCAATTGGACGTGGAATGGCAGTGGCCGACAGGTTCACGGAGGCGGAGGTTGTGAGTCGGGGGGGCGGTGCTTCCAGAGGCTGTGGCACCACAGTTCCGCCTGCCCCACCGCTGGAGCGGAGGGGCGAGCGCAGACAGGAGCGGCGATCCGGCTCCGGGCCGGCTGTCTCCGCTGTCTCGGCTGTGGGAGAAGCCAGCTCGTTGACTTGGCTAAAGGAGAACGTCACGGTCTTACTGCTGGGTCCGGCACTATTCGGTGCCGGAGCCGGGCGCAGCGGTTGCGGCGGAATCCCAACATCCCCTTGGGGCAGGTTCCACAGCGGCGTGGTGGCCTCTAATGTGGAGGAGGAGGCCCCAGACCCGGCCACGTTGCCCGTGCTCCCACCCCCGCCAGCAGCTGCCCCACCACCGTTCAGCAAGAGCAGATGCTGGGAGCGATTGTGGTCGTCCTTGTCGATGGTATCGAAGCGCTTGAAGCTGCCGCTGGTGCTCAGCAGGAACTCCGAGCCCGATTGGATCTGTGGTGAGCATTGGTCAATCGATAACAGTCGGTCAGGCGATCGGGCGACAACTTACACTGGCCATATAGCCATTGGCATGGAAGAGCTTGTGCTTGTGGTTGGAGAGGCCGATCTTCTCCTCCTTGCTGGACCGCATCCGCATCCAGCTGGCCGCCCGGTGCCCCAGGCAGTGGCAGGCGAACAGCAGGCCCATGATCAGCACCAGGAGCAGCAGGGCCAGGCTGGTGAAGGTCATTGTCAGGGACGGCACCCTATCCATGCTGAGTGGCTCTTCCTCTCTGCTGCTTGGATGGATATCCTCTACCAGTAGCTGGTCATTTCCTGAAAAATGGGTAAATCGCAAGGTGGGGAAACTCGGAAATGAGTCAGTTTCATCACCATCAAAAAATAGAAACGAAAATAAAACCCAAATGTTTTCATTGGAAAATTATGTGTGGAATAGTAGGGGTTGGGGTGGGGTGGGGTGGGGTGGGTTGGGGTGGGCTGAAAACACTTTCATCTCGCATCGCTTTACCGTCGATACAGACGATTTGCCTCATCAGCGAGGTGTGCGCGTGGGCGTGGGCAGGTGCCCGTGCTCTGGTTCTCAATCTCAAATATTGACAGTTTTCCGAATTGAATTTGTAACCGAAGACGCAGCATTGCCACATCAAAGCGAAGCGGCGAAAGAGGTGTCAAGAAGGGCTAGCGGGCGGTCGACAAACGCTGACAATGGATCACTGTCGCTTGGCAGCAGATTGCCTGCCGGCTCTCCCACACCTAGAACTCTCTGCCCTACCTCTCGTTGCCAAGCACAGCAGAGGCACTCAAGAGTTAAGGCAACGGGACTTAGGCGAGAGTGTTAGCGGGAGTCGTGAGAGGATGCGATGCCGTGTGAGGAGGGAGAAGCAAACACTGACAATGCATTGCACTCTCCCCACTCTCTCCCCCCCTCTCTCTCCTTTTTGTAGCTGGCGCTGCCAGGCACTCAACGGGATTTAAGCAACGGGGCTTAAGCGGGGATTATTTCTCCGGCCGAATGAAATTGCTTTTAGAGCTGCGAAGTGAATGGTTCATTAAAACGTTGTATTAAGTATAATCTATTTATGCAGGAAGGGGGTGCCCTGCCCAGCCCCATCTCTTGTTCAGTTCATTGAGCTTTTGTTTAATTATTCACGGTAATAAATACGTGCATTATAGCCCATCGCCCGATCGAGTACGTACCCTATAATGCACAGTGTGCGGATTATGTTCCATCCCATGTTCCATGGACGCTCCCACATACTCCCCCCTCCACATTAATGCCAGCATAGACATTCCCCACATACCCTCTCCTTTCATTGTGCGATTCCTGCCCATGAGAATCGTCTCTGGCATACTCCGTATAGAGATTCCTTTCTGGAGCCCCCACTAAATGCGCTGCGAATCCCGTCCGCAGGACTTTCGCTGCAATCAGCTCTATCTACCCCCGACTACCCTCTAATTAGGGGGTGTAATAATCGGTTAATCAGCCTTTTCCAATCTTCCGCTCACTCACACACATGCATGCTTCTACTACTACTACTACTACTACTACTACTACTACTCTGACAGCTTAGTAGAACTTTTGCAGCAATTGAGGTACAGGCAGGCAGCAGTGGCAGCAGTGGCAGCAGCATCAGCACAGTGCCACTTTTCATTAACCTACTGCGAGGTCATTCCACTGGCTCTGTCTTTTGTTGCCGCTGCAGTACGGTATTTGTACACATGTGCATATCTGTTACACACATACATATGTACATATGTACATATGTACTATCGCATAGGCCTGAAAAGTGTCACCACATAAGCCAATAAGCGAATATGCGGAAGAGGAAGAAGATGTGGATGTGTACTGCCGGATGGTGACCCCTTTTTCGCGGCTGCTCAAAAATGGGACACTGTGGAGAGCAGACCGTTGGGGGGGTGGGGGGTGTTGGCACAACAAAAGGCACCCAGCAGAAGTAAAAATAAAAATGAACTCTAGTCACGTCACAAGACAACTGTAATCGGTCTCTCTATCCTCCTCTCCCGCTCGCCCTCCGCGGACAGAACCGTCCTTCAACGCTTCGCTCGTCATCTCTCTACCGCCTTCCCACTTCTCACTTCCCACTTCCCACTTCCCTCCGTCACTTTCGTTTGTACTTTTTTGTGGCTCTCGCAACGGCGAATGATGAAAACAAAAGAGGAAGGAAATCAGAAAAGAAATGTTTTTTATGGTGAAATGAAGAGTGTAAAGCAAACGAAAGTCAAAGTAATCAAAAAGTGGCAGAGCCAGAGGTTTGGGCAGAGGTAAAGGCAGCGACAGGGACAGCGGCAGCGGCAGATGAAGATGAAGATGAAGAGGTGCCGTGCCGGCAGAGAAAGAGGTCTACTCATAGAAATAGCAGAAGGCAGAAGCGAAATCAGCGGCAGCGCAAGATTTGCTGGCAGAGACAGAGACAGAGGCAGCGGCAGAGGCAACGGCAGCAACAGAGCAAGATAAACCGCAAGAGGAGGGAGCGGAGCGGTTGGGGTCGGGTCGGGTCGGGTCGGGTCGGTCCAAAATCTAGAGCAAGTTGGCGGAATTGCAAACACATACGCACGGTCACCCACATTTGTACACACACACACACACACACACAACTGCCAACTGCCACAATTACAGTTCATTTTCGGCTTACTAATTTTCGAAGGCAGCAAAAACCAGTAAAGATAACACCTCTTCCGAGAGTGCTCCCTGTCCACAACCACAACAACAACAACAACAACAACGGCACCAGCAACAACAACTACATAAAACAAAAGACAACAACAAAAGAGTACAGCAGCAGCAGCACATATCGCTTACCTTTTTGCTTGGCTTTTCTTATACACAGGGTGCCCCTGTCCCGGCACGGGTAACTGCCATTAACAGTTGTTCATCATTTCACACTTTTAACAATAACTGATTTCGCGGCTGCACCAATAACAGGAATCACACGAAAGCGGAGCACCAGCAGCAGCAGCAGCAGCAACGAGGAAGCAATACGCTGAACATTTTCGCTAAACCGTTTGTGCAAAAAGTCGCGGCCAACTGAGAGGCGAAACAGAGCAAAACAGGAAGGGACAGTAGTAACAACAAAACTTTGGTCTACTTTTTGGGTGACCCACAAGCTTTCTCTTTCTCACACCACTCACACTCGCACGCAACCGATAAGCCGCAATCGATAGGCAGGACCGCCAGGGTTTGTGTCTTGTCCTGTCCCAAAATGAACTTAATTTCGACCTAAATTGAGCTTTGGGACAAGAGATGACTATAAAACGTTTAACCATACCATTTTATACCATACCATAAGCCATTATGGCGGCCATTATGCCAAAGTTATACTATTATGCCATTCCATTATGGCTGGTCAAATCCAAAAAATGTACCATAAAACGCTAAGCCATACCATTATGGCTAGTCGCATCCATGAAAATGTACCTCAAAATACTATAAACCATAGCTGAACGACCGAATAATACATGCATGGAACAATAATACATAGCATGCTTTTTAGGGCTAGGGGTTCGGAGAGTCTGTCTTTTCATGAGCTTAAATAGCTTTTACAAGCCGCCCTTTGTTTTGGAACGATTTTGTTTAACTTCAGAAGGTTATGGATGTTACGATGATTCTATCTATACCTTATACAGGTGAAATTCCTGATAGTCTTAGTTCAATTTTGCTATACTGTGCCCAAGTCGTGTGTCGTGGCACGAGAGCAATACTTGGTCTCTACTCTACCGAAGGGGTAGATTTAATGTGGACTGCAAGCTCCACTTGCCGCTGAAAACAGGGGACTTGGTACAGCTTTTAAGAGCTGAATAAGCACTGTCAAGTGTTTTGCAGAGATGTAACGACTGCGCATACGTAAAAGCTACATATGTATTAGACGAGAGGGTAGATACAAGCCGACTGTTATACACAACAGAACAGGGGATTTAGCTGTGCTTTTAAGGTTAACAGAGCTGTTCAGGGCCTTAGAATAGCTGTTACGAAGTTTAGCAGCGCAGCGCAACTGCAGCGCTGTTACATATATATTGGAGTGTATGGCTGTTAGGCGGCATCCAAGCTAAATCTTCACTTTTCAGCAGTGCCTATACGTGCCAATCTATACATGAGCTGGGTGTCTCTTCGCCACTGCCCCGCAACTCGCTGCATAGCTGTGATGCCATAAGCGTCGCTGTTGAAGTATTAGCCAGGCTATTGCGGCTATTCCTATTTCTGCCGAACTGTTAACGCTTCACGAGTGGTTGGGCTAGCAGTTATATAACGGAGTTAACAGAGCTGTTATAGAGTCAGAACAGCTCTTCCCCAAGATGTTAGACCTTTAGCAGAGCTGTTGACGCTGACACCCCGGCAGTGCTGTTGTTGGGGCATTCCCCTGATCTGTTAAACATTTAGCATAGCTTCTAAGGCGTTGCCGCCACTGTTAAGACCTTGGAATGCCATTACGAGGCTGCATATCTGCTGCTTCGGCCCCGTCAAGGACTCTTACCACCAGCATAACGATGACAAGGCAACACCTCACCTCCCTGCATCCTGGAGCGTGCAACTTGCCCCCAGCATCTAGCTGCAGCCATGACAGCCACTGCCACAGCCACAGCCACTGCCACAGCCACTGCCACAGCCATTGCCGTGTGCAGGTCATGTGGATCCCAAGTAGTAGCACAGTTTGACCTTACGCAATGTTGTTGTTGTTACGCTGCCTAATCCCGGAGCCGAGCAAGGCTGAGCCCTTGCTGGCAGCCCTAATGGGGTTAGATAAATACGAGAAGAACGGTTAGGGGATAAGGGGGATATGGGCTTGGGATTAGGCACATTAAAACTTTGTGCAAGTTCTCCATCGGGCTCATTTCATTGGGCTCTGTGTGTGCAAAGTGAAATTGTTTGTGGCCCACTTCTGGGCCCCAAAAAGCATGCTTTATTAATTTGTTGCAAATGTTTTTCAGCGCAATATTTGAAGGGAAAATGCGATGCATTTTAATTTGGCAATTTGCGGTTTTCATTTGCACGACTGGTCGGACAGGAGAGGGGGGTTTGCTGGATGGGGGATGGGGATGGGGGCTGGGTGGAGACCTATTTCGGGCATTTCAAATGAAAATTCTCTAATGAAAAGCGATTCGTATTGATATCCTTTTGACGCGCCCGGCCAGTTGATTGTCGGCAAATCAAATTGATTATGGCCAACACTTTGGCTCCACTGGTCAGGGCCAGGTCCAAATCGAGGTGGCCAGCCAGCAGCGACCAGCGACCACAGCAGATAAAACAACAATAAAAAGGAATTAAAACAAGCAATGTACATGCCTTTGGGACAGAACAAAAAAAAGTTAGCATCGCATTGCGATGCACAAAAAAATGCAATGCAATGCAATGCAATGAAATGAAATGAAATGAAATAAGGCTGGGAATTGTTTACGGTTTCTATGAAATGTGGCATATTGTGGGGCACGGTACGGTCACGTGGGGCAGGCTCGGTTCTGCTGCTGCTGGGGCTGCTGGGGCTGCTGGGGCTGGCCCGGGGTTGAAGAGTCAAAGTCAAAGCAAATAAATTGTGCAAATTGTGGTAAATTGAAACTGACACAAGCACAACAATTTCCATATCGGTAGCTGTATCTTTGGCTGTATCTGTATCTGTATCTGTATCTGTATCTGTGTGCCGGCATTTGTGTGCCTAACAATATGTATAATAATGCTAAATGCCAAAATGATTTCAAATTCAATTCCAATTGAATTCGCCAACAAAACTTGCATCTACTTGCAACCCCTGGCCCCAGCATCCCCTCCACCCCCACCTCCACCTCCACCTCCGCCCATGCTCTTGCTCTGTACATTGATCAGGGCATTACGAAAAAGTTTTAGGCCATACAAATAATGGCAGCCCTTCAGCCACTGCTGCCCCAGCCGCAGCCCCGTCCACCGCCGAGCCCCACCAGCGACACAGCAGCCCCAAAACTCCTGCCATTCCAGGCCGAAGCCTATCAACCGGGCACGTCAATTCATGAGAAAATATTGCACAAATGCCGAGAGAAACGAAACGAGAGCTACATACAGCACAAACACAAACACACACACACACAAACACACAAAAACAAACACACACACACACACACACACACAAACACAGTCACTCAGTCACAATCACAGTCACAGTCAGAGAGAGAGAAAGCGAGAGAGGGAGCGGGAGCGGGAGAGGGAGAGGGAGAGACAGGCCAACTCGTTGGCCAACAAAGTTTCTTCCCTCAAATCGGGCAGTGCACCCTGGGAAATGTTGCCACTTTTTGTGGCAATTAATAACTTCCAACAATATTTTTGTTTTGTTTTTGAAGGTGGGGGCGTGGCAATTCCTTTTTTTTTTAAGGGGAAAACGCATCCAAATTTTTGACTAAACTTTCCCTCCTAGTAACGAGGGACTTTTTCTTTGCACTTGCATGCGCGATTCGCTTTTTGCGACTTCTTTCTTCTGCTCTAATGTGCTCTCCTTCTGCCGTTGCTGTTTATCTGCTGTTACTCTGCTGTTGATCCGATGTTACTCCACTGCCGATCTTCTGTTACTCTGCTGTTATTCTTCTCTTGATCTGCTGTTACTGCTGTAACGCAGCTGTAACTGCAGTTGATCTTCTGTTACTCTGCTGGTTGTCTGCTGTTGCTGCTGTTACGCAGCTGTAACTGCAGTTGATCTTCTGTTACTCTGCTGGTTGTCTGCTGTTGCTGCTGTTACGCAGCTATAACTGCAGTTGATCTTCTGTTACTCTGCTGCTCGTCTGCTGTTGATCTTCTGTTGATCTGCTGTTACTCTGCCGTTACTCTGCCGTTACTCTGCTGTTACTCTGCCGTTACTCTGCCGTTACTCTGCTGTTACTCTGCTGCTGATCTGCTGTTACTGCTGTTCCCCGTTGCTAGCTTGTGCATTCTGGAACACTTCCGTGAAATTATCTTCTCGGCTGTTCCCTCATCGGCCACAGAACAACAACAACAACTGTTCAGTCTGTAATACAATTCAATATGGAGTCATTTTTGAATGTTAAATGGAGAAGACTTGAATATTCCCCAATATGCATTAAATCTTATGGTTGGAATAGGTGGGACTCATTGCGTAGGCCTCCTCAGAGACTCGTTTTTGTCACAAAATGATACTCGTTAAACGATTAATAATTACACAAAATATAAGTGAAAGTCAAAGTTCAAAGTCACAAATACATATTACATAACACACTGATTTGAATCCATTGTAAAAAATCTCCTTGAATTGTTCAATTTATCTCTTCAACTTGCAAAAACCCTCGCTACTCGCTATTAAACAGCTATTTTTGACATCTGTTAACTTAACAGTGGTGCGCTCACTGGAGATTGATGATCGGCTAAAAATATATTCTTTTAATGAGTTTTGAAGAATGGTTTGTGGCCACAAAAAGTTGTACAATTTCCCATAGTGCAGTGGCAGCAGCCCTGTTCCCAATTCCGTTCTTGCTCCTCCATTCTCTCTCTCTCGCTCTCTCTCTCTCTCTCTCTCGGTCTTGCTCTCTGTCTCTCTCCTCTCCCATCAATTGACAACCCAATTAACTTAGAATTACGGGATTTATATGGGGAAGCATTTCAACGCTTTGTGAACCGAAACTCTTTTCAAGTTGCTCCTCTGAATGAAAAGTAGTTCCCCTCCGTGTGCCAGTCGATCAGGCTTTCTGGTGGCGCTTCTGGTGGCTCCATCAAGAACACTCACAAAACTGATAGGTCCGGCCCATCCTTATCCCATATAGTGCGAGAAACGGAAAGGTATACTGCAATAAGCTGCAATATATTTTGAGAGTGGGAGGAGCTATGTATATGTACAGTCTATACACTCCCC